CGAGAGAGATCATCATCAAGGGATCGTAGATCTGGCCTCCCGCGGGAGACTATAAAGTGTGATAGAGTAGGTTGCGGTAGTAATCCACGATCCTAAAACGGAACGCGTGGAAGGTTTGTCTAGCATGGATCTAGTAGCGTGGAAGTACTCCACGCTGGCTAAATATCTAGAGCGATGTTTCATCATCAACCTAGTATGACCAGAGCGGTCATTGAGAACCCTGTCTCAAATGACTATTCACGAGAGACTCAGTCATGAGTCGAACTCAAACCCTATCTAGGATCGAGTCGCGAATAAGGCTAAGGAGCCGTGTATTGCAAGTGGTAGCACCTGGTGAGTACGTGTTGACCAGTGAAGTCTCAGCCCGCTCACTGAAACATGGAAGAGTTAGAGTGCACCAAGATGCCCAAGATCGCCAAGAGCCCAAGAAGATCGAACATGTAAGTGCTTTTCCTCTCCATGTACAGACAGTACCATCCCTACAGGATAACACTCACAGTCACTCCTTTTGACGTCTTCTGTTGAAGAACTTATTAGTACAAACTTGGGGTATGGTTTACTGCTGACCAATGATCAGTCCGCCAGCTGCAACGGGTTTGGATTATGTCTTTCACCCTAACCCAAAACAACCAGAAGCGGTCCTTTTGGACAGTCACAAAGCCGCCAAGGAAGATCTTCCACAAACCCAGCCAGCAGCACAAGATCGATACGCATTGTCAACTCAAAGTGTCCTTTATGCTCTGAACAAGCAAAACTGGGCAGTTGTAGTGATTGGACTGTGTTGTGTTGGCTATCAAGACAGCGTTTTGTTTGGGTACTGTACATCAAGTCTATTAATAAAAATAGCTACCGGTAGAGGAGCCGTATCAAGGGTATCTTTTGTGTGGAGCGAGAAACATCTTTTTGGTCATTGCATTGGCTTTTAATTTAAAACTTTACTGATTAGTCATGCTGACTCCAGGATTTGATGGGGAGGTTTTAACCCGAGAGCCTCCCAATGCCGTCGATGCCGCGAGACACTTATGCCAAGAAGCCCGAGTGGTGTTGACGTCTTTACGCGGAGGACCACCCAATGTGGCTCGAGGAGAATTGGCCACGGATTTGATGGATTTGAGAGCGGTTGTCAAGGCAGTTCTCTCGGAATGTGTTAGCAACAGCAACAATGGCAACAGCAAGGTGGCTACCGAAACTACCAATCTTAGCAGCAGCAACAACAACAAAAATCAGTCAGCTAATGCTACCCCTGAAGCAACAACCGCTACCCCTCAGCCGCCCATTCCGCCACCACCCCCGCCTCCTCCACCACCCCCTCCACCGGTACAACCACCTCTGACGACAAGAGATATTCACGATGATGAACTAGGAGATGGCACCGTCTTTGTGGATCCACAACCCCCACCACCGCCGCCTCCTGATACTATGCAACAACCACCACAACCCCCTCCCAATCCAATGGCCTGGTTGGAAGATGTAGGACCATTTGCACGACCATTCTTGTCCGTGGTCGTCGATCCAAGAGCCGCTGGTCCCCACACACTCGTGGCACTACGATCGCTCTTTCGATTGGTAGAACAAGGATCCCTCTTGCAACCCAAAAATTCCCCTCATCCCTACACAGTCTTATTCGAATCACTCACCAAGGGTGTGCTCTCCTGCAAATTCGAACAAACCGATGCCGGAGCCGATGAAGCCGTCGAAATGGCCATTGCCGATTTGTTAGCATTGCTAGTCAAACAAAATCAAGCGTCCATTCACCCAGAAACACTCATGGAGGCATTTAATACCGTCTTTGTCACTCGAAACACATTTGTCCATTCACCCGCACTCTGCTATCATTTTGAAGATGTCCTGACGGCCATTGTGTCATCGGTCTTTTCCGATTTTCATCCTTCGGTCACACTCATTTTGGAATTCTTGGTCAACCAGTTGCTGCATACACCGCTCGTGGGAGGGGATGTCATTGATGAATCCATGCGAGAAGCACAAATGGCACATGCCGCCACTCGACTCTTGTGCTTGCGATTGGTCAATTGTGCCGTACGGACTGGATGGATAGATTTTCACGAGCGACACGACAATAATAACACCATGGCGGAAGAAAAAGAATTGTTGCGCATTATCAAAGATGACTTGTGTCTCTCATTGCTCATGACGGGACAGGCTATTTGGACATATCATGACGCGTCCAGTAATATTTCACCCGGATTGATCTCCCTCGATGTCTTGTCCGAAATCTGCAATACGCTCTCTACATTGTGGCATACCATTCCACTGCGGAAACATTTGGTGGCGCAGTTCGAAACCATCTTTACCGGATTTTTTCAGCGGGCATTGGTATTGCTACGCAAACGAAACCATCCCATGGATTCCATCACCTTTAACGCCGATTTGGTTTTTGATGCCGAAGTCGAAGTGATTCTGGAATCATTGGTCGATCTACTGTGCTTGCACGACTTTCGACATTCCATTGCGGATGGAGATGGTGGGTCTCTCGAAACCCTGTTTGCCACTTATGATTGTCACATGAGACGATCCGATGTCGCTGCCGGTTTAATGGTCGAACTCTGTCGATGCTGTGGAGGGGGCGTCAATGAGGAGGGTGAAGCTGTCGTTACGCCCGCTAGCAGTGTCGCAGGAACACCCGTTCCTACAGGAACCAATACACCTGTGGGTCAAGACGAGTTGTCCGTCCAAGGTAGTAGCATCCAAGAAATGGAACTTTGGAGGCCTGTTCCACCACACCTCAAAGAACTCTGCGCCCAGGCGTTGATGGGGGCCATGAAATGTCTGTTCCGTGACGATAAGGCGAGCAAAGAAACACTGTTGAAACGATCCCAGCGAGAGTTGACTATCATGCTTTCGGGAGAAGAACTACAACTTGATCCATCAGTGACAGAACCAGTGCCCGACGGAAACAACGACGCAACAAAAGATGATGACAACGATCACTTTTTGCGAAATATCAAGTCGAAGAAAAGGCTCATGCGAAAAGGTGCCATGCTATTCAATCAAAAACCGTCGAAAGGATTGGAATTCCTCGTCTCTGCAGGACTGTTTGAGGATCCACCCACCCCTGCATCAGTTGCCAGCTTTCTCCGAAACGGAATTGTGGTAGGACTCAACAAGAAAGCTGTAGGTGCCTATTTGGGAGAAGCTGGGAAACTCCGCGAAGCGGGCAAGTCACCTCCTAACTGGCAGAGAGATTGGTTCCATAAGGAAGTGCTGGAAACATATTGCAAACTGTTTCGGTTCGAAGGTCAGAGCTTGCTGGACGGTCTGCGGATGTTTTTGTCTTCCTTCCGCCTTCCGGGCGAAGCACAACAAATTGATCGAATTCTTCAGGCGTTTTCAGACACCTGTGGAGCCGTGTGCGAGGAATCTGTCAGTGGCCGCTTGAAACTCTTTTCGACGGACCCCAAACGAGCCAGTGACGCTGCCTACCTTCTATCTTTTAGTATCATTATGCTCAATACGGATTTGCACAATGCCAACATTCGAGAGGACCGAAAGATGAAATTAGAAGATTTCATCAAGAACAACTCGAATTATGGGAGTGACATTACAGAAAAAGGAAAGGAGTTCCCTCGTTTCTTTCTGGAAGGAATATACGAGAGCATTAAAGAAGAAGAAATCCGGACAGAGGGAGAGGGCGCTGACGGTTGCATGACGATTGAACGCTGGAAAGATGTACTGAGAGGTTCAACTGAAAAAGGAGCAGGAGACAATGTCCCGTCCAGGCATGATGCTGAGGATTTGACAGAGCTAGTTCTGGAACACGTCTGGATTCCCATAATGTCCGCTATCGGTGCCTTTTGGGGTATCGCGAGGTCGGAAGATGCCCTGTTCGAGCCAAACGCAGCAGCACCCGCCGGCGAAATCCCCAAGAAAGGAAACATGCTCGGGGTACAAGGAGCTCGTCTCGGCATGGACATGGCACTTGAGATGTTGGAGGGGGTGTTGCAACTCCGTAGGATCGACATCTTCGGAAGGATTTTCGCCTGCGTCTGCAAATATACTGGCTTGATCGGAGAATACATGGCAGGCGTGGAAGAGCGTACAGAGATGTTTGTGAATTCCCTGGAAGCTCAGAGCGGCCTGATTGTTGCCGTGAGAATTGCACGTACAGCTAGTAATGACATTGGACTTGACGGTTGGAAGTTCGTGTGGCAAATGATTTTTGAGCTCAGAGATATCAAAATGCTGGGCGGCCCCGGAGGAGGTGAAGAAATGCTGCGTCGAACCACCATTTTGGAAGAAAGCGAAGACGACTTGCTCACCAAAGAGGCTCGGCAAAAGTGGAATGCTTGGCTTGTAAAGGGCGATACCCAAGAAAGACCTGAAAGAGAGTCTTCGGGGGGTCTTCTGAGTGCATTCGGTCGTGCATTATTTGGCAGTGACGATGACGCATACGTTACGGAATCCAGCAACAGCGGACAACCGGCCCCGTACAACGGGAAGCATTCTGTTCATGAAAAGGAGCGTTCCCTGATATGGGACGAAAATGCAGACAGTGACGATGGAGGCGCGGCAATGGGACTTGCTACCAGCGAAGACACATTTGCCAGTCAGATTGCTCGTAGCATTGGCGCTCAATTTGAGAACGATTTGATTCGAGAGAATGTGATTTTGAGCCAACAGGCGCAGCTACCGGTAACTGGGCTCGAGAGCTTGGAAGAGACTCGCAACAGACAGCACTCGCCCAGGGCTCGAGTCCGGGGTCGCGTGTCAAGATCTTGCGATTTCTACGGACTTGTCACTGACAGTCGATTCATGACAGACGATGGGATAAAATGCATGTTGAAGGCGCTCCTCGAGGTAATCGAATCGCAAGCAGTCGTCGATAAGGAAAACCAGTCAAATCCTCCAACTCCATCCGAAAATGCCCTCGATAGGCGTCTTCAAGTCCCTCCCTCCGGTGTCATATTTCCATTGTCGCCGGCATCCTTGACCTTTGCAGAGGTGTTGGTCTGCGAGATCTCGTTAAAGAATAAGGATCGCTTGGGGACCCTCTGGAATGGTTTGTTGGATTCGCACTATACAAGAAGATTGGCAGGTATCACCAAGGAAGTGGAAGACAGATCAGAGGCCAGAATGACGATCATTGGATCTGGCACCGAAAAGTGTGTGACTGGACTGCTGCGGATATGCGCTTGTGCGACGAACAAAGACGTAGCGGATGACATAATTGGAAGTTGGCGTCAGCTCGCATCTTGGCCCGAAGATTTGCCTGAGCAATCAATAATGGGTTTCCTCGACAAACACGTGTCTGGTGGGTTGTGGCGAATTGTCAACAACGTTGACGGTAAACTTGGGGCCGACGGATGGGAAGGTCTCATTGCCTTGGTCACGTGGTGCGCCGCCAGAGGAGGGCAGCTGCCCCCTCTCCATGAAAATGGACTTGTGGGTGAGACGACTCTTGCAGACGATGACCCTGCGCTTCAGTCGTATCGTTCATTGCACCTGATTCTAAGCACGAAAGAGGTGTGCGACACAGTACCAAATTCCATTGTTGGAAGTGTGTGCACGGTGATTTTCTCCGGCGAGAAGCGCTGTTGTTCGCTGCTTAGTATAGCCGGGTTGGATTTACTTCACGATTTCCTGGAGCATCGAGGCAATCAAGCTCTAGGTTTGGAGTCGGAAGGCGGGTGCAACGATGAAGCAGTGGGGGCATTCTGGACGCAATGCTGGATGCCATCACTGGAGACCATGTCGATTACAGCTGAAAAGGGAACGATCCCGGTGAGTTATTCGCGGCGGCCTCATTCCCTCGTGATTATTTGTTGCCCTCCGATGCGTCGTGTCTCATCTTATGTTGTCCGTGAGCATAGAATGTTCGCCAGCACTCCCTTTCAATGCTAACTACCTGCCTAATGGACAATAGATCTGGAGCGGCGCCTGCCGAACAGATTTGTACAGATATGGTGAAGTTGTGCATTCCTCTCGCTGGGAGGCGGATAAATGAATTGAAGATTGGCAATGCTGCTGTCGCCAGCGCAGATGAACTCATGATAGAATTTGAACTCTGCATGAAACTCATTTTCAAGCCATTTCAACGCCACATCGCCCGCGTAGCGAAGGGCGGCGGAGATGGCCTCGCCGTGTGGACTGCTATACTGGCTGTGCTTGAAGAGTTATTGGGAGACGAGAAGGTGCCCCGCAACGGCAACAAACTTCTGACCGAGAGCTTGGCAAAGAGCATGCGGGAATTGGGAAAGGAGCACCTCCACAATGGAATTATGTTCCTTAGCTCAGAGGGCCTCATCACGACGTCCGATGGCAACTTCAGCACCGCAACCTGGGAGTATGTAGGACGAATGAGATTCTGCAAGGGCTCTCTCGAGCAGTGGAAAAAAGAGGCGACCAAAGGAGCTAGCTCATGATAACAAACAGGAATCGAATCAATTTTTCACGGCTCTCGATGCAGTGCTATTAAAGTAACTTTTGCTATTCCCATTAGTTCGTTCATGCCTGTCGGCACTGAAAGATGGACCCTGGTGGTAACGAAGTGCCAGCAGCCCAAACAACAACGTCGTTCTATGCACAAAGGACAGCGCAACAGCCGTTCGAAAACAGAAACCTTTATCACAGCTTGAAGGAACTGGATTTTCGGCTACGCTTTGTTTCTTTCGGGTCCGTATCGCTCTTCTGCTCATCTCGCAAATTCTTGGATACGTCATCTTGCAGTTTCCTAAAGAACTTGTTGCTGGAGCCATATCCAGTGTTGGCGTCTGCTTGGCCTTGTGAAATCCGTCCTTCTGCACGCGCCACGGACATTTCTTGCTGTGCTTTGCGCTTCTCGTACGGGTTGTTGAGTCCGAGTCCTGGTTCGACCCGTGCAATAAGCTTGTTGTCAGTCTCCTTCTGTTTCCTGGCTTTGCGTCGTGCAGCCTTCTTCCCGGCTCGAATACGTTTGCGCTCGGATTGTTCCAATTCTGCGTCACTTCGCAAAATGCCGTCTCGCCCACGCTTCTTCCCGTAAACCTCCTCGGGAGCAGCTCCTCGTGCGTCACTAACGTGCAGCGGCAATACTTCTTCCATTGCAATGGCGGGCGTCGTTGCCGCCCTGACCTCGGCTTCATCGGCAACCGGTCTGGGAGCAAAGTTATAGTTGGACAGAGCATCCAGCTTGCTGCAAATGTTGGCGAAGAGCTGTTTCATTTCGTTCTTTGCCTTTTCCTCTTCGGATTCCTTTTCGGCAGCATCTGCATCGTATCCTACCGCCTTTTTCAAGTATTCTCTCTCATACAATTCCCCAAGACCCAACTTGGCCTTTTCTTGGCTGACTTCTGGCAATTCTCCTCGTTTCTTGTTCCAGGCCACATCAGGTAGCTCTCTGGGTATGATGTCGTCCCAGTCTTCAGCCATGATTCGTTGTTTGATGACGTCTTCCAAGTTGGCTGTATGCTCTTCGGTAATGACTGGCGCCACCTTGGACGCAGCCTTAAACTCGGGTGTTCCCTCAAGAAGCGAGTTGACGGGTCGGGCGGAAGAACTTGCTTCTCCCATCATTTGCCAGGGCTTCTCCTTGATGAGTTCTTGCTCTAGGCGCTCTGTTTCTGCTCTGAGTTTCTCTTGTTGTTGCTTGAATTTCGACTTTGCCTTCTTTTCTTCCACAAGACTAGCAGCAGTAGATTGCTTCTTTGCTTTTGGCTTTTTGTCCTGATCTTCCGAGTCATCGCTGTCCTCCTCTTCGGTGCTGCTGCCACTACTATCGTCGGAATCCGAATCATCCTTCTCGGACTCTTGCTTTTTGGCTGCATTTTCGGCATCGACTCCCCAATCAGCCTTTTCCTTGTCAAAGTCGTAGGCATCCCAGGAATCATCATCCGCTTTCTCTACTTTTCGTGGTTGCTTTTGATGCTCTTGTTGACCCTTCCATTTGTGAAAGTACTTTTTGTTGGGCGCCCCGAAGAGATCCGCGGCAGTCATGTTGACCGCATCCGCGAGTTCGCCCTCTTCCTCATCCTCGTTGGTAGCCTTGTACATGCCATAGAGGGCTTCAATTTCATCATCCTCGCGATATTTCTTGCGCTTGACATTCGCAGTGAGCATCAACTCGTTGTCTTCTTCGTCACTGTCACCGTCGTCATCATCATCATTGTCACTATCCATTCCTTCTCGTTGTCGTTGATGAAACGATTTTTTGGTCTTGTTCTTGTCGTCATCGTCATCTTTGTCGGGAGGAGTGGGATCCCACACCTGTTCGGGCAACATGTCTTCTTCTTCGTCCGCAAAGGCTTCCATTTCATTAATATCAAAGAATCCATTGTTGAGTTCTTCCGCTGCTGGATCGACGAGATCTTCGTCCATCTCGTCCTTCACGGTAGATTGAATGGCATTTGCCTTCTTGCCCTTGTCGGGCTTCTTATCCTTCTTTTTGACCCCAAAGAAACGAGTGTCTTCGTACTCATCTTCCTCGTCATCTTCTTGCTCATCTTCTTCGCCATCCATACTGTCAGCGTCGTCCATGCCATTGTCTTCTTGATCTTCCATTGCACGTCTCATTCGTTCCTTCATTCTTCTGGTCACGGAGTCTTCATCCTCCCCTGTTTCTTCTTCGCCACTGCTGCTACCTTCTTCACTATCACTATCATCATCGTCATCATCTTTCTCTTCGTCACCCTCAAAGACAGCACTTTGCAAATCCAGTAGTTGGATCTTATTGCTATTATTGGTAGCATTGGTTTCTTTTTGCTCTTGGGCTAGTTTTCCCAACTTTTTGACTGATTTTTTGAGAATCCCCTGCAATGCTTCATTTTGCAACTCAATTTGACCCCAAATGGTCTCACCATCCACCGCTTCTTCTGGATCTTCCTCCTCTGTTTCGGAGGTTGTCGTTGTTCCCAGGTACAGCTCTTCCAGACCTGATAGACTAGTGGTGGTAGCTTTGTCACCTGCTGTTGCTTCGACTTGACTTTCAAGAGTTTGTGACAGGCTCTCCACCGTCTGAAACAAGGATTGACAGGTCTTTAACAGCAGAGATCGATGCTGGGAAGAGTCCTTTTGCTGATTCTTGCCACTTCCGGACGGCGGAGCAAAGAGAAAGGAGGCAATGGCCGAGTCGTCCTGAATAAAGGACAAAAACTCATCCAGCGAAGCATCATTCTTATCTACTGCTTCCTTCGAACCGCCATCAGCAGGGATTGGGCTAGTATCACTCTTCTCCTGCTCTTCAGATGACATGATGATCTATCTATTGTTGCTTTGACGTTGGAGACAAGGAAAGTGCTTGCTATTGTCATGTATGTGGTTTGTTGTGGAATTCTAAACTCATGACTGCATTCTGCATCTTTCGTGACTCAGAATTTGTTGGCTCTGGATACCCTTCGTCTGGCCTGTGTCCGCTTCCCCAGTTGGTCGATCTCCTGCGCACAGACCGGTCCCACCATGTTGTGTAAACCGGTACCGTACCGGTACGGTACCGGTAGCACTGGGACTGGACCGTTCCCTGGATCCAACAATTGCAAACTGTGGGTACGATGCGCAAGTTCGCCTTGGAATTTGATGCGCTTTTATGAGGTCATTGAGCAACCAGCCTTGCGAGGACGATACTATTGTAAACATTGGAATGCACTGTGAATCGCGCTTGTTGGTTGCTGACGGAGCTGCAATATTGGCTGACGTGACACGAAACTCTGCAGAAGTTGTACAGTCAAAAGCTGAGAATCTTCGTCGGCAACATCAACTTGCCTTGTTCATTGCCACAGTTAATGAACGAGGGTGTCAAGAAACTTGTTGAAGCTGTTGTTGCCCCCAAGTTTGACGTGAATCTTGAAATAAGGAGTCCTTGACGAGAGCCAAAGGTTTGAAGCTAATCTTTGGGTATGCTAGGTGATTCACTCGTTCAAATGTTGATGATGTGTTTTCACGCATTCAATTGAAACTGCTGAATCATTCATTCCATGCTGTCGACAATGATAATTGGCGAGGAGATGAACATGGTACCGTATCATGGAAAAGAATGCCTTGAACAAAGCCATGAACGGGATGATGAACTTTTTGCCCAACAAGGGTTTCAAGCCGATCAAAACTGAGTGTCAATAGAGTAGGCACGGCCCCGGCTTCAAGTAGCCCGCTATGCTGCGATGCGAGACAATTCTGAGCACAGGAAAGAACGACGACATCTCGGCCTTACCTTGTGGTCGTGTAAGTAGGACCATTACAGTAAGAGAATGTTGCAGAATTATGTCAATGTCTCCCTTGTAGTTTTCTAAAGATACAAGCCCTCCTCTCCTTACGATGGCGCACATCGAGTCAAACCCAATCTGGTCTATCGGTTGGAGCGAGCAAGGAAGAAATAAGTCGTAAAACCTGCGGCTGCTTTTTGAAATGCACCTCAGTCTAACCTCGGTCAACTACTAGTGGAAATGCCACTTGAAAGCAACGGGGACACGTGGGGGTTGCCAAGCCCATCATCTTGGTTCCTGCCACGGTAATGGCGGATAGTTTCATCTCTGCACTGCTAGTGGGAACATCCGTTTTGAAGCCGCGAAAGAGGAACCGAGCGTATGGGTATTTGCTATTAGTATTGTTGGCTCAACAGGGGTGTACCAGTACCGGTTCCGGCACCCCCGTAGGCGCGTCGCACCACTCCTGGCACTCTTTTAGATTGGCTTCCTGCTCAGATTTGAGTGCAAATAAGGTAACAGTAGACTACCCTGATGAGCTGAAAGTTTCTGCGATACTAGAGTATTGCATATGCTGCGCATCTTGGCAGCATCTCGTTGTCTGAAACACCAAACCTCGAGCTCGGGCTGGACGTCCTCAGGACATTGAAGCGTGGAAAAGCAAGGCGTGGAACTCCTTCTATCTGGTACGCAAAGGTTAGAGTGAGCGCTAACATCCGGGTTTCGCAAATTGTTGAAGCTGCTGAACTTCAACTTCTACGGACTTGGCAGTACTAATTCTACCTGACGTATCCATGCTGACGTGAAGGATAGATCGGCGTCAGCAGTGCAAGCGTTTTGCTTGTGGATGCACGAAATGGAAAGGAATCATCTTCCTCCTCGTGTAGAACCATGCTCTCTGGTTGTGTCTGCATTGCTGCTCTTTTCTCTTGTTGAAGCCGCCGCAGCAGAAAGCCAAAGACAGATCCACCTGTTCGGATTGGCATTTTCATTTTCCTCCTTGGTGCCACAAAGTGAACTCTAGAGATCGATCCTTTGCCCACCAAGATGAAGTTGAATCTTGCAATCTCGCTGCTTGCCCTTCTCGTGGGAAATGCAAGCTCCTTTTCCCCGGCTAGCAAGCCGTCGCTGGCAACCAAGGTATTCCAATCCACAGAAGTATTTGAGAGGGAAGCTTCTGTAGCAAAGAATGGCGAGGCAGAGCCAAAAGAAACCGCTGCCACAGTTCCCTCAACAGTTCCCTCCATGGCGTCACCCAAGAGGGAGAAGGTAGTCCAAGAACCTGATTTGTGGGAGTACAACTTTGGATTGCAAGAACCTAAACTGACGCTACCCCACGGCATTGTGGGCGGAGTAACTGCGCCTGAGAAATATGCGATAACCGAAGAACAAATCCGAGTTCTGGAGGAAGACGGTGTAGTACACATCAAGGGAGTCTTCGACGAGGAGTGGGTAGATTATCTGCGAAAGGCTACTGCCTACCAAGTGGATAATCCTCACTTCTGGGCCTTTGCCGGAACTGCTTCCAAGCTGTACGACTATATTCAGAGAAACGTCTGGCAAACTAATGGCGCTTTTGCTGACTTTTACTATCACTCTGCTATGGGCCACGTCCTGGCACAGTGCGGCAGAACCGATGAGATCCGTGTCTCTACAGATCTTCTCATGGTCAACCCCAACAAGGGATTCAAGTGGCATCAGGACAACCAAAATGGTCCCATCAAATGGGAGGATGGCATCCGTTTCTGGATTACAATGGACGAGACACCTGCTGATTATGGGGCACCTGTCTACCTGAAGGGTTCTCATTTCAACGATGCAGTAGATGAACAAGCTGTCTTTGTTGATATCGAGCAGAGTGGGCTTGACGAGTACAGAGATAAGGTGGCAGAATTCCGAACAATGCCAGGAGATATGCTTATCTGGCATCCAAGAACGATTCACAAGGTTGATGGACCATCGGATGGCATCTGGACTACCTACCGACGCGTGTTGGGTGGAACTGTCGCCAAGGGCGGAACTCTGTATCAAGACAAAAGAGGCAGTGGCGGTGTTCTGTCTGATCTGGGTAAGCATGGCATGGAACAGGACGACAAGCTCGACTCTCCATTCTTTCCCATTGTCTACCCTCAATTCAAAGAAAGCGAAGCACAAGCCAGAAGAAACGGAGATGTTGGACGTTCATTCCAAGACATTGTGTCCAAAATTGGTGGACTGGCAACTAAAGCCTCTGGGGAGAGGTTCGGCTCGTTCTTCAAGGTTCTTGGGAGCCGGTAGGTATGAGGCAAGACTCAATGGATAGATCATCTCGGTTTGACCATCCTTCCCTCTTCATCCCCTATGAAGGTGCTGAGTTGATAACGTCGACTCAGCCCTTCCACGCGCACACTACACCTTACTGGAACCCTTGTTGCTTCAGTCAGGTGGTTTGTCGTTGTTCTAGATTGACTTCTTTACTCACAGCATGTCAAGGCGACGTCAATAGACTTCATATAGCGAACGAATAACTGTATAGATCTCATATTCGGCTACTGTACAGGGGAGTGGTGTTGAATGTCGAGGACGCTGTTGGAGTGCATGGAAGCGGGTTCAGAAAAGGTTGGGAATGCTACGGTACAGGTCGGTACTGCTGAAAAGCTAGCTAGCGAAGGTGCTTGTGAATGTGCTCAATGTATGCAGGTGTAATTCCACAACAACCTCCCACAAAGGTAGCCCCGAAGTCATTGACCCAAGGAGAGACAAACTCATTCGAGTATCTCTCTACACTCAGGTCATCTCGTGTTGCCTGAGGAGCTTCTGACTCTGCCAAGGACCAGTTTGGGTCCACGGGAGTGAGGCGATTGGCGTAGGCTCCCGTCAAGACACCTTGATCTGTCATTCGTTGCTGTAGAGCCGAGTCTTCTCGGATGGATGCAAGTGCTTTGGTGATGGCTTCTGGTTCGGCGCAATTAAACAGCACTCCGAGTACTTGAGACGACACGAGCGAGAGGTTAGCGAAGAGATTGCAATGCAAAAGAGGTTGTCAGATTGAAACGACGATGTATGTAACGTATCATCGAGGTTCGAAGCAACCTTACATTCGACCCCACTTTCCTTGCAAAGGTCCATGGTCCGGGTCACAGCCCTGGTTGCTGTCTCGCTATCCCGTAGACATCCCGAAGAAGCGAGGGTATAAGATACAATCATGGTCCGGCAACTTGCTCCGTCGTCCTTTTCTAGCGTTCCGACAGCACGTATAGCTTGTGTAGCCTCTTCAACGCAAGACATTGTTTCGGCTATAAAGACGTCCACAAATGGCAGCAACGCCCGTGCCATGACACCGTATATTTTGATGCCTTCCTCTGATTCCATGAGTTTGTCTGGCCTATAACTTTCCAACAAGGGTCCCAGAGATCCTAGGACCAGTTTTGGCTCACACTGCGGATTATTGTTGTTGAAATCATCGACGGTTTCTCGGGCAATCCGTCCAGCCGTGGTGACATGTTTTTCAATTTCTTCAGAGGTGAATCCGACTCCTGGAACGACGCCATAGGAATTGGTAGTGATGGCTTGGGCTCCTGCTGCGAGAAAGGACTTGTGGACATCTCGTAGGGCAGGTTGGTATTCTGGGTGGACCAATGCCGTGGCACTCCAAATCTTGCGATCATCTGGTACCCCTCGTTGAAATCTGTTGGAGAAATAATACAGGAAGAAAGGGTATGAGCCACATAGCTATCAATCTTGGAAGAAAACTATACACGGTGTTTGGTGGATGGAGGCAACTCACAGTTCTTCTCCGGTTCCTCCATCCAGCAAGAAGATACCAGCTTTGTTCGACCTCAGCTTCTTCCAAAGATCCTGGATTTGCACCCTATTGGGTCTTGCCCCACTTGTAGAAGAGCTCATTATGCGTCGACCTCCTGACTTTGATGCTAGCGCCGAAAGAGTGATCCAGAGAGCTCTCATCTCTCAAGGTTGTTGTGTGGTTGCTTGCTAATAGTTGCAAGCGAAGATCTCGAGAAATCGATGGAAAAGGTTTTCTTCTTTAAAGCTTTGAAACATGGGCTTAACCTAAATCTTTGACAGAAAGCGAGAAAGACAGTGACGGACGAAGGACGGACGATGGCAACCTCCAACACCAGCAATTACAAATCTACCTGAAGCCAAAACACCAAATTGCTTCCATTTGGTTGGGGACCATTCAAATAGATAGATCGATCAGGCATTGCTGCTCTGGATCACAGCTCAGCTCACCTCATTACTTACTTGAGTGGAGGCAGCACCGACCAGACGCCCTGACCTTGTGTGTGTTTTGGAGCTGGATCGACCCTTCCAGTGCTGGTTGCCGTATAGTATCCAGATCTATCATCTTTCTTTTGGCATCGATCATGTTGGTAGAATTCTCTCCGTGGGAGACGACGGACACGTCGTTGCGTCTGTCTCTGTCTTCCAAGCGAAAACGACCCCGAGTAGGATTGTCCACTTCGTCTTCGTTGGATAACGATTTTTCCATTGCCGGATCCTTCATAACTACCAAGGCGGGGCGACGGAAAAATCGAGATTCCCGCAATGTCTTGGCCATTACGTCCTCTCATCGGGTGTCAGTTCTGGTCTCCAATAGCAAAGGATTCGCTGCCGGCGCTCCCAAAACAGAAGCTCTGGATTCCTCGTATTCGCTTCGTGAAAATTCCCGCATGCAATATTCGTGTCGACCTGGAAAAGCCACTGCTTTCTTGCCGTCCAGTCAAGAGAATGCTAATGATTCTCCTGGAAAGAAGAAAAAGAATGACAATGCTACTTCCAAGATACCTGCAGTGTTGGATGCCAAGAATGACAGGCTGTGGGCCCTTCAGAATGGAAACAAACGGCTAGTCATTTGGGATGCACAATCAGAAGGACCGGATCCAAAAGGGAAGGGTAGCTGTGACCTAAAAGAAACAGCACTCAGTATGGATCTTCTACCTAGTGGTGTCATCATTGGTACCTTGGAATCTGGATCCATCTTTTATGCTTTCGTTTCGGATACTAATACATCTGTCAAGTGCCACTACATACCCCAAACCAATTCACTGCAAGAAAAGAAGCTAAGGCATGCAGGGTCGTTTGTCTGCATTCCTGGTATTTCCTCTCCTCCATCGTCTGGAACCAAACGTAAAGCATCCAAAAAAAGTTCATCGGAACCCGGTGACGTGGTGTATCTGTATCAAATCTTTGTTGATGACAGTACAGCTACCGTGATACGAAGTGAACTGCCAGCTACAGCAGTGAATGACGGCGACAACAAGCAAATAATGGCGAGTGGGAAACGCAAAGTAGCTTCTTTATCCCTGGTGCCTTCTGGATCGGATGAACAGTCATCGTCCTTCTTGATAGAAGACGCCAACTTGATAAAATCCACAATGACTAACCCCGAGACCGCCACTCTGTACTTTCGAGTGCATTCTACTCATAGTGACAACGGCAGCAGCAACAACCACTATTGCTGTTCCATTCAGCTTCAGACGGCAACACTGAGCCACCCCCCTTTCCCCGTCCCTTGTAGACCTCAGCACATTGCAATGGTCACACCCAAGCTGCTGGCGATTGGAGCCAAGAAACAAATTCAACTTTGCGATGCCTTGACAGGTGTTCCAGTGCACACAGAGGCATTGCCACCAGGGCTCCTTGATCACGACGACGACGACGATGATTGGAAGATGCTAGCCGATACCAGAAAAGGACTCTTGGTAGTGCTTTACTGCCAAGGTGAACAGCTAAAGGCAACAAAGACACTACTCCAGCAAGAGGACGATTTGGACGCGCCAAGCTCTCCGTCGTTGTCCCAAATGAGCTTGGCTGCAAGACTCTCTGCCTCACTTGGTGCATCAGCGCAAAAGCCCATCGTATGGACTAAGAGTTCCAAACTGTTGAGCTTTGATCAGAAGGAATCGGGAGCAGCCGTACATGTGGAGCAAGGAGTGGAAGAAGGTTTGAAAATCATGCAAGACTTGGAGTCCATGATTCTTCGACGAAAACGTGACGGCTACAAGGCAGGCCGCTTGGTCGACACTTACAATGGCGCAGTCAAAAAAGTCTTGCAACAACCAACGACTTGTGGTGTTTCTCCAAACGGAAAAGGTACAGCCAAGAATGATGCACAGGCGGGCGCTTCTGAACGCATCAATGGCATTCATGATGACGGAAAGAACGGGATGCATCGCAGTGGAGTCAAAGGAAAGGACAACGGATCGTTGTCCCCAGCCGACGTTGGATCGAGAAAGGTGTCTCTCTCGGATGCCTCCAGTGACTTACATTCTGTTACTACTGATAAATGTCAACTCCCGCTATCCTTCGTCGATGCCACTACAACAATTGTGCTTGGACTTTTGGACGAGGCTACAGCCTCGTCGTCAAAGTTTCCCAAGAGTTCAGTGACGATCAACGAGGATTGCTGTAGTGTCCTCGGTAGCCTGATCCAAACTGGCAAAGTCTCAGCTCGAAAACATTTTGATGATAGCGGTGACATGAGACGTGGACATTACTTTGCCAAGCTTTTGAGCAAGATGGGATGCAAACGAACGCAAAAGGGCAGGCTGTACTCGCCAGTCGATGCCATGCTTGACATGCTCAGCCATTGTGCTGACATTTCGGAAGCACAGATGGTAACAATGTTGCATTTCATGCTTTGCCGATCTCGGCCTGATGACATTGCGCGTGCGTTCTGTGATTCGGCATCGCTGCCTGAGAAGCATCGATACAAGAAACTGGGCACCCGCTACCTGGAGCTGGCGGCAGATCCCCAAACAGACAAAAAGGACGAATCGGACAAACTCAAAGGCCAACTTGTGGTTGCTGGCGCATCATTCTTGCTCGAGAAGGTGCTTACATACTCACACGCCAATCCAACATTGCTCTGCTGTGCACTTCGCGATACGCTTTCTGTCGGGCAAGAATCACGCCTCCTATTGCGTCTTCTGAATGACGTGGCTCTGTCGCAATCTGCTTTATTGGAGTCCAAGGTCGACCTGTTGGGCTCTTCGATCCAGTGGATTCAGGCTCTTTTCGACGCTGTCGCTGACAAGACGAGTTTGGCCCAAGACTTGGATTTGGAACACTTGCGTGACACCCTGGAGCGTGCGACACAACAAACGGAGCTTTTGATTGACTTGGAGCCCCCTCTCGACCAGGCTTTACAGTCGATTTCCTCAGAAAAGGCACGCGCCAAGAAGAAGCGGAGAAAAATTATTTCTTCAGCTTCCGATGAGCAGTCAGCGCCACCGTATTCTGTCGAGCGACTAACTTTGTGATTTGATGGATTCGATTCGATTGCATAATAGTCGCCGCTCCATATGCTAATGCTTTAGAACACCTTTTCGGATGTGTCTCTCCTACTTTCTAACCAGTGCCAGGAAGTTGGAAGACTCTTGGCAACGTGCTCCACTATGTCTGCAAGCAAGCGACCAGTAGCAGGAAGAGCAGCAGGCAATGACTATTCCGCTGCAGCGCCCGACGATACCGGTATCTGTGCCGTACCGTACCATTAGACTACCGTATGGATACAAACGGTGATAGGCTGAGCTAGTGGTACCGTAGCGGTAAAGGTACGGGTAAGCTTTCCCTATCGTACCGCATGCAGAACTTCAACCTACCGCACCCATATCGCCTGAAGCTTCTCGACTACCCTAGCTAGCTAGCAGGCAGGGTAACCGTAAAAGTACCAAACTAATGGGCTGACAGAACAGACGGTAGTGGTTGCTTGCGGCTTGTATGTGTCTTCTTCTAACCAATGTCAAATCGATGAAATGATCAATCAAGTCGTGTTCCGAGTTGGAATGCGGTCAGTGCGCTGATCATTTCTCTTCAAGCCCTTTTGCTCGGTCACATTTACATACCGGTTCAACTTTGGGTCTCATCCCACACTATTTAGCAACCAGGCCGCTCTGAAGATGCAACGTTCCAGCCACAGCAAGCATCAACGTTCTGATGAAGGAAAACAGTCTCATGGTGTAGCAAAAGCACAACTGCAGCCTCCGGTGGATCTATCTCGGCTCCGGCTTCCTCAGCGGGGAACAGTGCATCTGCACCTTGCCCCAACTACGATTGTCAACAACAGCAATGGCAGTTCCTCTGATTATCAGCGAATCCTCCAGCAACTGGATATCCAAAATCAACTATCGACCATCCGTCGGCAGGCACAAGAGCGCCATGAACAGGCGGAGCAGAGGGCCCAAGATCGCCACGAGCAACTCCAACAACGTATCCAGGAGCAATTTAAGCAAGAGATGGAAAAAATCCGACAAGAGATGGAGCAAATCCGGCAGCAGGTTCTCGCGCCAGAACCTGCGCCCAGCAGTGGGGCTGAAGGTATTGATACCAACGAGGAGGGTAGCAAATCAACCGCTTTGGACAAGTCAACCGCTTTGGACGAGGAGGGTAGCAAATCAACCGCTTTGGACAAGTCAACCGCTTTGGACTAATCGGGCTTCACGGGCAAATCAGTGAGGAGAGATCGGATGGACGGATGGATTTATAGATAGATTTCGAAGCGTTGGATGGATTGGATGAGCTGTATGTTGGAAGGCTTCACAAGTAGAACGTTGGAGGGTGGGACCGTGGGATCAACTGCTTGATCCTGACAATAATCGAGCCGCCTACCGATAGGTGCTAGTCAATCAGTGAATCGAATAAAAATACTACATGCACTACTTAGATGGCTTCTCTTGGGTACAAACAATAATTTTGCAGCGCAAGTGCTGTAACCTTACTAGTTTGTTGGTGCAGAGGAACGGTACGTACCGGTACCGGTATGGCGGCACGTGGCAGCGAAGCGACAGCACCAAACGCCAACGGTGCCTTGTGTCTTGGTGGAACCGGTACCAGGCACCGGTACCGGTACTACCGATACCGATCCCCGTGATGTTGGTGACGCTTGGGGATGTCTCAAACCAGCCTTACCGAACGGAAAACAGCAGATGTCCACCTTCCCGAGTTGAAGATACAAGTTACTCCTTCCTTCCACCTCCACCGCCTTCGACCGACTGAGTCACTCGTATCATCTTCCATCACCTTGTGTATATTCCATCTTCTTTCAAAAAAGTATACTACCAGTCCTTTGACCATTTTCCACCTTTGCATTTACGTTCAACCTCCCTCTTCCCCACACCAGAGACCTGATCCGGGTGCTTGGGGAAAGCGAAAGCTGTGCATACAAGGTATTCTGATGAGGCACTCCCCTTTAGAAGCAGGCAAGTACTACCGGACCGTAACAGCATCCTTAAATCCGCTATCGCGAAGGTAAAACTGTACCGGAACCAAAAACCAAGCGGAGGTCCAAACCGACTGTCATCGTGGCGTGGAAACTGCTTTGTGTGTGTGTGTGAGCGTGGAATTCCACGGCGTTCAACGGTGACGCTGCCTTTCTACGACCCAAAGCGGGAGCATGGCCACCGCAATGCTGTTTTCTAGTCACAATTGAATTCTCTGCGTCCCCGCCACCAGCAAGACACCTTCACAACACAGCGCTGGACTTGTTTTCACGATTGTTTCAAAGAGAGACCATCACCAAGCGGGTAACCAGCACTATCGCAAGGCAAGCAAGCAATACAGTCACAGTGTACAACAACAGCAAGAAGCAGAGAGAGAAGCACAGTTCATTGGAACGTGAAAACTACAACAAGCCAATATATCAACAACAAGAATAAGACAAGACATCCTCCACGATGGCGACCGACATGTGCACGAGACGACTCCGCAAGGAGCTCAAGGCGCTCCAGAAGGACCCAATGAAGAGCCCCAAGATCACAGTGATGCCCCGGGAAGAGAATATATTGGAGATGCACTATGTCATTGAGGGGTCTGAGGACTCTCCTTACGCCGGTGGAATTTATCACGGAAAGCTGGTGTTTCCTGCGACGTACCCACTGAAACCTCCCTCTGTCATTATGTTGACTCCATCAGGGCGATTCCAGCCCAACCGCCGTTTGTGTCTGTCGATGAGTGACTTTCACCCAGAGACGTGAGTTTGTTAGCTGGCTGTCTAGCTACTTGTGTGACTTTTGGTCGTTGGTCATGCCTGCTATTTGTTCCTCACTCCCTTCTTCTTCTGGTCTTTCCTTCTTTTGCTCCGACAGTTGGAACCCTGTCTGGTCAGTGGAAACCATTCTGGCAGGTAAGAGACAACAATCGCGCTGCGCTGTAATACTACTGCCCTTGTTCTTTTGGGACCGCTCGCTAACGCTTCGTCACTCTCTTGTTATTTATTTTTTAAAAAGGCCTCTACTCGTTCATGGTCGAGACCGCTCCAACCTTGGGCAGCGTGGAAACATCGACACGACAAAAGAGACAATACGCACAACAAAGTCTGGCATACAATGTCCGAGACCCCATGTTCCAACAGCTCTTTCCGGAATACGTTGAACAATACCAGAAAATTATGGACGAACGTGGAGAGGAAGTCAATACATTGGCCACTTCCGAGTCGGCGGAGCGCCGCAACAATGAGGGTATTGAAATTCAAGGAATCTTTGCCACTGCGGCGGGGCTTGTGGCGCTCTTGTCTATTTTCTTTGCCATGCGCTTTCTCTGACTTACAGACAACAACAACAAGCAACACTATCAATCTTGTGGACGATGTGATGATTATTTCGGAGCACTCTTTGGCAGGCGAGCATTGATCACAGTATGGTACACGTACCGGTAGCTATCAATATGCTCTGTTCAAACACAACCAAACCCAATAGAAAAATATAATGCAGCAATGAGTGCTCTTGGGCAAAGGAATGGAATTGAAATGGAATGGTAGAACAAAACAAAACATGTAACTGATATACTACATTACTTTTACTGAACTAATCTTCGTCCGCTCCGGCATGCATTCGAGCTACCAGGTATCGGTTTAATGATAGCCAACTATTCTTTCTGTTCCAGGTACTTCGTCAGCGGCATGGCGGTTTGGTTTGTCGCCGCTACATGGCGCACTCGATGATCATTGGCACCAATGAGAAGTGTGTGTCTCTCTTGGAGCGATGGTGACTTTGGGTTCCCTCATCATCTTATTTAGTAGAGCTCTACCGCATTGTTGCAGACTGTTTCTATAGATATACGGATGTAAAGTTTGTCTACTCTCGCTAGACTACCGGTACCTACTGAGTATCGATTTACCTAGCTAGAGTTTTGTGCAGTATTTACAATCCATTACAGCTCCATTATTAGAACTCCATCAGGCCACTATTGCGATCGTCCATGATCAAGGATGAATGGACTGATGAGGCCACCTGCGAATTGCTATCCTCTGGCAATTTGACCGTCTTGTTCCCAGACGCCTTTCTTGCCATTAGAATCTTTTCACACAGCGTACAAACGTACAATGGAGATATATCGGCAGTTTCAAACGAAACAGGAAAATACTCGGGACCCAAAGTACCAGACGAGGTACAATCGCCGCAGATAAATCTACCACAGTGCCGGCAATGCAGTGCTCTCGCAAAGGTCCCTAGATTGCACTTGCACTGCATGCACCATGAGCGAGAAGGAGCCCACTTTTGAGGTACGGATATAGCAGCCAGAATACGGCTGCATTGAGAATCCTTCTTCACCATGTCCAGGGCCAGCACTCCAGACGAGCCCTTGTCGTCCCAAAAGGATACCCATCGCTTTGGCTAAAGACGAACACGACAGCGAGTTGAGAACATATATTTCAATGAAAAGCGCTGTGGTCTGAACAAGATCATCGCAACTCACCTTTTTCCAGAGAGGATGCAATTGAGCACCGTTTGTCACCAACTCCACAGCAGTGTCAATGTCACGATGATACAGGCTCAAATGGAGAGCTGTACAACCCGCTGCGGACTGCTGGTTCGGATCTGCTCCGTGACCAAGTATCATTTTCATCAGCGAAGGATAGAACTTGAAGTGTCTCAGACCAGTGTTGTGGCAAATCAAGTGCAAAGCGGTTTGTTTGCGATTGTTCATCACCTGTGGGTCTGCTCCGCTCTCGAGGAAGACTTTGGCAAGGTCATAAGAATCGGGAGTCACGAGTTGCACCGCGTAATGCAAGGGACAGTTGCCCTCGCTGTCCTGATAGTTCAAATCAGGTTCGTATCGACTGGATGCTCCTCCGGCCATCAATTCAGCTATTCGACAACGAATATCTCCATCGTCATTTACGCCAGCTCTGGGTGGCAGTGCGATCAAGTGCAATGGTGTGAACCAACGCACATTGTCTGCCGAATTTACGTTTGCATTGTGCAAAAGCAAGCTTCTGACTGAGTCAAGATCTCTTCGTTGAACTGCCAAGTGCAAACTGCAAATTCCATCCACGTTAGGGATGTTGGGATTTGCTCGCCCGTTCTTGACGAGGAGACTGGTCATTGATGCAGATTCCGCGAGATGAAGCGGGGTTTCTCCGTCATTGTCCTGCGCATTGGCAATGGCAGCCTTGTCCAATAGCGTCTGTGTCATGAGCAGGTTCGAGCTCATCACGGCAACATGCAAAGCCGTTCGACCAATCTCGTCGCCTTCGTTGATCAAGACATGCGGTTCCTCATCTGATGATCGGAGGATTTCATCAAGGCTGGATAGGTCGCTCCCATGAATCGCATCGTGAAGACGCCTCAACTCCCGAAAGAATGCCTCTCCACGAAGAAACGGCGTGTTCTGAGAGTATGAAAGCGACACTGTTGACGTGGTGTTCGACTTCGAGCCGACTTCATCCTGTGGATTCGACATCTCTTCAAAGCTCTTGTCCGGATAGCACTCCTCAGGGTTGTCTTCGTCGAGCAGACTGAATGAAGCTGTCGACGATCGACCTGGACTCCGCAATGATTTCGTGGATTGTTGTCTCGGTGGTTCTACATTCTCCTGTAGACTGCCGTCATTGCTAAATGAGATACCTATCGAGCCGATTGCGTCTTTGCTGGCAGGGCTCATTCCGAACTGGCTATTGTTCTTGTACAGATCCCTCCGAAGTCCCTTCAGTTGCAGCTCCTTTAGCTCGCATTCCTTGGCAAGAACCCCCAGCTCGTCCGCATGACTCAACGTTGGTGAAATCGGAAGATTCTTTGCCCTTTCCAGTTCCGCTCGGAGTTGCTTGACTTCCATTTTCAGTTGTTTCACCTCGACTTCCTTTGACATTCTCCCCTTGTCTTCGGCTTCGCGTTTTGCTCGCTCCAGTTCAAGTCGCAACCGTCGAGTCTCTTCTCGGAATTTGTCCCTTTCCTTCGCAATGCAACTCAGGTCCTTCGCCTCTGCCTTGAGTAGCTTCAGCACGCGCTCTGCAGCTTTCCTTCGGTGAGCTGTTTGTAGCGTAAGTGCAGCACCTCTAAGCGCATAAAAGCTCAGCTTGCCAGGGTAGTGTCGACTCCTGCGCCAGCAACGCTGGATCGTCGCAGCTCGCCGGCCCAGTAGAAAACGATGGCATTGGCTTCTTGCAGCAGCTCCTCTGTATGCGCTTTGACAGAAGCCGCAGATGATCAGCGCAGCAAAAAATCTACGACGCGCTGAGTAAGTCCTCCATGCCGTCTGGATTGTGGTAGCGCGGCGGAAGAGGCGAATTCTCCAAGCACGACGAACTGCGCAGAATCTTCGAACTGCAGCCTGCATAATGATTGTGGCAATCTGACAGATTTCATACCGAATTGTACCCAAGAACATTCTCGCAGCCGCTTGAATGGTGATGGCAGCCTTTTCTACTTTTTGCCCACGTAGAAGATCAAGTGCTTCAAATGTCTTGGGACGGATAAACACCTTCGATCGCCCCATTTGCAAGCCAAGGAATCGTGCCGAGGTACTGTGAAGTACAGTATCAGAAGTGAAGACAAATATGTGAGGAAAAGTCGACTTCGTGTACTGTTGTAGTGAATTTGCCAGTCTCAGCTGGTCAGACTTACGGACTCGTTTCTGTGTCACGCTCGACGACAGCTTTGTGCCCTTCGTTTTCATGGTTGCGGATGAGGTTTTTGATTGGTGGAATCAGCGCCGTACAAAGAATCTCACACAACTGTCTGGCATCACATTGGTGTTGGTATTTTTCAAGCTCTGTTCTGCAGAGGACAGAGTACAAGGTAACGAAGTCTTGATGCGAATACCGATGAGGAAACCCAACTCGAGACACTCTAATCGCTTCAAGAACTCCTGCACATCGGAGCTGGTCAGCGATAACCAGAGGCTGGAAGTTGTAGGGTATCAAGTCGTCATTTGGCTTAAGACATCGAACGTAGTGGGGCTCGGTATCAGCAACACGGCTCCGCAAATCCCGCAGCTGAGTGCTAAACTGGCTACCAACGCTTTCTCGCAATAAGGAACTCGAATTGTCGCGTTTACTTGCTGAACGTGGTATGGATCTTTTCTGCTGCACATTTGTTTTGTCTGATTTGGTGCCCGTCGACTCGGCCAATATCTGGGCAAGTTTTGTCACGAATTTGTTTGATGAGTAAAGTAGTAGCTCTGTTGTCTCCTTGGGTAGTTCGTCTTTGTTCTTTTCCAGAAAGTTGACTGCACTGTACTCCACTTCCCCGGCATAGTGTCGAATACAAAAGGTCAAGTTCACCTGCTGTGATTTTGAGGCAGAGAAGCGGGCGTGATCGGAGCACTTGTCGTATAAAGCACGGGCAAAGGAGCTATCGGTGCATCTTTGGAGGCGGCACTGCTCATCGAGTATTGATATGATACCGTCTCGTTTCTTCTCAATGAGATCCAGAACATCCTGATTATCTGGAAAAGCAATAAAAGACCATTCAATCCCTTCGTACGACATGACAATGACACGTGGTTAGTTCACAAAACGGACCGCGGTTCACCCAGACGACTACAAGGGCTGTGTGGGCTCACCTTCTCGTTTGTATTCGTCCTGTTCTTGTTTGAAGACAAACTTGTTGAACTGTTGCTGCAGTGCCTCGTTGCAAAAGTTGATGCAAAGTTGCTCAAAGCTGTTCTCTTCAAACGATTCAAAACCGAAAATATCCAACACACCAATGCTCGCTGTAGCCGCATCGTTGCCACGGTTTCTGCCGCTAGACACTGATGATTCATCCCTAACGGTGATGAAACTATTGATTCGACGGGCAATGTGGGTAAATAGGGCCTCGTAGGTTGCTTTGATCAGGGCTTCCATGGCTTTTTGGGCCTGTAGTATGGACAAATTTTTGTATAGAGTTTCACCTCGCGCTTCAATGGCAAAGCGACAGCAGGCCTCATTGAGTCCAATAGCAGAAACTCCAAACAAGTCCACAGCATGCCGCAGGGATGGATTGATCAAATCTAGTTCGCTGGCGTCATTGTGCTCTTGAAAGCCAAGATTGGATGCATGCAGCAAAGCAGCACAAACTCGGAACATTTCAAACTGTTCCTCCTGTGTAAACCCCACCGTGTCAAGTGCTTCTCTTAACGCCCTGAATGTGTCTCGATCAGCAACTCCATCTCGTCTATCAAAGGTCCCAGATGCAGCCGTCATGTTGAAATCATAGGCTGACAAGTTCCCCATTCGCAACTGTTGTCGTTCTCGTTGTGTCACCCCCGACAAGATTTCGTAGAATATGTGATAGTTGCGTTCCCCTGGTGTCTGTGTGATGAGCCGTACTTTCTCTAACAAGTAGGTTGTGATAGATGCCGAGACCAAAGACCCCGCTGAATTGAATTCAATTTCAATGAATTTTCCAAACCGGGAAGAATTGTCGTTTCGTACAGTTCTAGCATTGCCAAATGATTCCAAGATTGGGTTGGACTGCAGAACTTGTGCTTCAATACTGTTGTCCCGATCTCTGTCCGAGTTTTGAGATAAAGTAGCCAGATACTGCATGACAATCTTGGTAGTCACGGTTTTGCCAGCCCCTGATTCACCGGATACTAGAATGGATTGATCTTGCCCTGATCGAAAAATATGCGGTTCTGCGTAATGGTCCAGGAGTGATCTCACCAACGACCGATAGGCATCTTCCGCAATGGCGTATACATGAGGCGGTGGTCGATGTCCAAGTACCATGTTCCAGTACTGATGCATGACATGTTCCCCATACACGTTGTTCACAGGTCGAAATGGATTCAAAGCTAGCAGCACTTTGCCCGTGTAGGTGTAGATTGCATCTTGCTCATATCGTCGTTGAAGACAAAAGACCACGGCTGGTTCGTGCAAATGAGACAGGTTGGTCAAATCTTCAGGTGGTTCTTCCCCTTCTGAATGCCACCAGGAATTGGCCATACACACCAGCGAAGAGTCTTTGGCATCGTAGGTAATTGACACGGGTGCATAGAGCAAATGCTGAGGTGCAAATTCTTCGTCATCCAACATGAACGAAGCCGTCACCAATTTGGGAGCATCACTATCATCCTCTTGCTGCTGCTGTTGTTGTTGTTGTGTCTTGCGTAGTTTGACTGATCCAAAGGGAGTTCGCTCACCATTGCTTCCTCTGTCGGGTGAAGGAAGAGGAGATGTGGCTCCGGATACCTGGGCTCGAGCCCAACCCCAGTCCGTAATATTGGTGGACCCATGCCTTCTGCTAGTTGTGCTTGCCGGTTTCCAGCCAGCAGGAAGATTCCCTTGGTGATGTAGGACGGCTTCGATCAAGTCCGTGCGAACCCACACGTGAGTGCCATGGGCACTTCGCTTGCTCATGCTGCTGTTGGTTGGTTGGTTGGTGCAAAAAAGTGAAGAACCGTGGGTAGCAGGTAGCTTGTTATGCCTATTAAAAATGGCGCAATCTGACTCCTTTCGTGGTGACAATGTTGACTAAACAATCAATAGCCATCGCACTCCACTATTGCGACCAACACACAACCCAGAAAACCGCTTCAGTCCACTTTTGATCTCTCTTCTCTCTTTGGAAGTTCAATACGGTACCTTCGGGTGTTTTCGTGTGGTTTAGTGAAAATCAGTCTCAACATGTCCTTGTGGCCAATTTACCCATTCGTTTGTGGTGTCTAACTCCAATTCCAATGCGTTACGGGGGTTTCTTAATTCTGAATCGCGAGCCTCTTCGGCCACGAGCCGAGAGGCCGTCTCCTTCACATTTTACAGTTCTTCCTCTCGTGCCAACTGCCTCCCGCTGTGCTAATTATTTTTGGCCAGCAGGCTAATATGGTAGTAGTCTACCGGTTTGTATTCGGGAATTCACAAGCATACCGAGAGCTGCACAAAGCTACTAGCTAGTAGTAGTCTATGCATAACTAAAAGCTGGACATTGAGGAAGCCTCTCAAGAGATTATGTAGGATCCCCACCTGGACCTGCATTTTTTGATACACCTTCAATGGAACCACCAGACTTCGATTGCTCAATACAGTACAATAACATTCGGCAAGAACTCCGTGCTAGCTAGGTAATTGAAAGAGATCTATCTGTAACTACATTTATATAAGTCAGGTATACTACTCTTGAGAATAATGTATTTGCGTCCGAGATCCAAAGGCTATGGCACAGAGCGACTGAGCAGCTACTGGTAGCTTGCAGAGCAACACAAAGCTGCACGCTAGCAACAAGGCCTCGCAAACCTACTAATAGCTAGTTTCTAACTAAAGGGGTTCCTGGGAGCAATGCAGTACTCGTCGTTGTTTCATGGCTGGATAATAGTACCATGGTATTATTAGTAAGAACCTGCGTAGCGGTACGGTACTAATATGGCCGTAGTTTTGCCATGGAGGAGAGCAAACGGGACGCGTACAGACCCAAATGGAGTAAATGTGCTATCTTTCAAATGGAAGCAAAAACAAAGATTCCGAATGCTCGGAAGCATTTTCAAGGTTTTGGCGCCCAACTGGCCGTCTGAAGCTTGCCTCCTCGCATCCATCACAAACACCTCATAAAGAAAGGTAGATAACAAAAGACAGATAACAGAGGACACCGCCAACAAACCATCATTGGCCAGCTAGCTATTATCGCTATCATACATAGTCATCACCATGCCGGTCACGTATCTAGAGATTGAGAACTTCAAGAGCTACGCTGGTAAGCAGACGATCGGTCCCTTTCGTGATTTTTCGTCCATCATTGGTCCCAATGGCAGCGGCAAGAGCAACTTGATGGACGCCATTTCCTTTGTGTTGGGTGTTCAGTCTCGAGATTTGCGCTCGAGTCAAATGAAGGATCTCATCTTTCGTCCTCCGGGAACGCGCCGCCAGACACTGAAAGCGTGTGTCACGCTGTTTTTCCAAGACGACGACGACGAAATGACATTTGCCCGCGCCATTTCACCGCAGGGCCACGGCGAGTATATTGTCAATGGCAAGACGATGCCGTTCAAAGAGTACGAAGCCAAGCTAGCCGACATTGGTGTCTTGGTCAAAGCCCGCAATTTTTTGGTATTCCAGGGAGATGTGGAATCCATTGCGCGGAAATCTCCCAAGGATTTTGTGGCATTGCTCGAGCAGATTTCCACCAGTGTCGAATTGGCCGGAGATTACGATGACGCCCACAAAGCCAAGGAAGAAGCGGAAGCGGCCGTGTTGGAAGAATACAATCGACAAAAAGGATTCAAATCAGAGCGACGCCTCCTCAAGGAGCAAAAGGAAGAAGCCGAACGCTTCCAGGAACTACTCGCACAAAAAGCAAAACTCCAGACGGATCTCTATTTATGGCAACTCTACCACATTGACAATGATATCCGAGAACAAGAAGACACGCTGGCGGAATTGCGAAAAGAATTGGAAGAAAAGAAACAAGACGAAGAAGAATACTCCAAAGCACTCCGCGCCGCCAAGAAAAAGGCCAGTGAGGCTCGTCGTCACACGGGAGAAATTGACAAGAACCGAGTCAATGCGGCGTCCCATGTCGACACTCTAGAACCGCTCGTCATTACCTGCACGGAAGAAATCAAAAGCCTCCAAAAGAAAATATCCACGGCCGAAAAATCATTGGCCAAAAAGAAAAAGGAAGCCAACGAACACAAGTACACGCTCGAACAAATTGAAACCAACGTTGACGAGCACAAGGAACAACTGAAACAACTCGAAACGGATTACGAGGAAATCAAGCGCGATGCCGTGGGAAATCAAGTCACATTGACCGAAGAACAGGAAGAAGAGTTGGTTCGGGTCCGACAAGCTGCTGCGGCAGCTACTGTCAATCCACGACGCAAGTTGGGCGGATTGACACGAAAACTTAACCACGCCCGATCCAAGGCACAAACCCAAAAACAAGAATACGATGACGCCAAAAAATCCTTGGTCGAGACGGAACAGGCTGTCACAGGACACACGGAACGCACAGAGAAATTGAAGAGTGTAAGTATCAAGAATAATGATGATTTGTACTGCCCCCATCCCTCATTCGTAACCTCACTTGATTCATTTCTCTGTTTCACGCTTTTGTTTTTGATTTTGAACACTCTCAGAGCATGGAAAGCACCAAAGTGGAAGTGGAGCAGATTGAAAAGGAACTCTTGGAGGCTCAACAAGCCATGCAACAAACACAGGAGCGACGGGAGGAACTCGACCAAGAGCTGGAAAAGATCAACCGCACTCTTCGCGACGCAAAGGATTCTCGTCGCAAGTCCAAGGATGAAGAGCGGATTGCACAGGCCATTGCGGCGCTCAAGCGGAACTTCCCCGGCGTCATGGGCCGTTTGGTGGATCTTTGTCGGCCCACCCAGGCACGCTTCAATCTGGCCATTACCGTCGCAGCAGGAAAGGATATGGAAGCCATTGTCGTGGATACCAAAGAAACGGGACACGAGTGCATCCGACATTTGCGAGAGCAGCGCATTGGAACGGCCACCTTTTTGCCATTGGACAGTCTCCAAGTGACTTCAGTCGAGAGCCAAGAGCGAGCTCGTGCCTTGGTGGCCAAGGACAATCGATACCGGCTGGCAGCGGATTGTATCACTGCGGATGAGGTTTTGAAACCTGCTGTATTGTATGCTGTCGGGAACACGGTTGTCTGCGATGATTTGGATTGTGCTCGAGAACTATGCTTTGGAAGCCGCCAAGGCGGCGGCGGCGGCCAAGCCAAAATCAAGGCAGTCACTCTGGGAGGTGCCGTCATTAGCAAGGCCGGTACCATGACGGGAGGAGTCACGCGGGATGACAGCAACAAAGCTGGACGATGGGGAGCCGCCGAGATTGAAAAGATGCGGGAGAAGAAGGAAGTATTGGAGACCGAGCGCTCGGAACTGGAGAGTTCTGCTGGAGACCGCCGAACCCGAAGGGGCCCTGGAGGCCATTCGTCTCGAATTGAAGAGCTGAAGAACAACCTTTTCACTCTCAAGAGCAGAAGCGACTACGCCAAGCGTGACCTGGCATACACAAACAGTCAGCTGCGGGAGAAGCAGAACCAGGTCAAAACACTTCGTCGTCAAGTCACGAAGCTCGAGGGTGACATGGAAACCGTGGAGAGCGAAATCACGGATCTCCAGGAAAAGGTCGAAACCGCTCGGGAAGAGGTCAAAAACGCCGAGGAAGAGCATCTGCGCCCTTTCCGCGAGAAGACCGGGCTCAAGGATTTGGGCGCCTACGAAGACGCGGTCGGTGAGCGACGCAAGGACTTCAACGAGCAGCGAAACAAGCTTCTGGAACACATTGCCCAGCTCGAGCAGAAGAAGGACTACGAGACCAAACGAGACCTCAAGAAGCCTGTGACCCAGTTGGAGAAGAGAATCCAAGACAACAAGGCGAAGCTCAAGAAGAGTAAGGAGAAGGAAAAGGAGTTGGCGGGACAGGTAGACGAAGCGAAGGAAGCTTTGGCGGGAGCCGAGGATGCTGTCAAAGAAGCTGCAGAAAAGGAGGAAGAGTGTGATGAAGAGGTCCAAGTGGCCCAGACAGACTACAACGAGGCCCAGGGAGAGCGAAACAAGGCCAAGAAGGCCGTGAACGCTGGCGAGGCTGCCGTCGAGCGCCTTCGGGGTACGCTGCATGAAACACTACAGAAGGCTCGCGTCGAAGAAGTCGAGTTGCCAATGCTTGATGAAGGTAGCGATGACGAGGAAGGCGTGTCGTCGTCACAGGTATCCAGCAGTCAGATGCAGACCCAGGATAGCAGCTCTGGTGGTGGAGGCTTTTCTCAAAGCACCTCTCGAGTGGTGGTTCGCGATCGTCGCGCGGCATCCAAAGTAGATTACTCCAAGTTGGACGAACCGCTGAAGCAGCGACCATCCGACCGAGAGGAAAAGCGCATGAAGAAGGACTTCGAGGACCAAATCAACAAACTGGCTTCTGACATCGAGGCCACGAATCCGAATATGAAGGTAAAAGAACAGCGCGTAGCTACATCTATTGCATTGGGGTGGTCTCTGATACATTCCTCTTTCGATTCTCTTTTCAGGCCGCGGATGCGTTCGACGCTGTCTCTCAGCGACTCAAAAGCACAAACACGGACTATTCAAAAGCCCAGGAGGCGCAACGCAAGGCCGCTTCTGCTTTTCAAAAGATCAAGTCTCGCCGTGCGAAACTCTTCAACGATTGCTTCAACCACATTGACGAGTCTCTCAAGACTATCTATCGGGACATGACCAAGTCTTCGAAACATCCTTTGGGAGGTGAAGCTTACCTGAGCTTGGACGACACGGAAGAACCTTATAAGGGAGGCATGAAGTTCAACGCTATGCCACCCATGAAGCGCTTCCGTGACATGGAGCAGCTGAGTGGTGGCGAGAAGACAGTGGCGGCTTTGTCTCTGTTGTTTGCCATTCACTCTTATCATCCGGCTCCTTTCTTTGTCATGGATGAGTGAGTTTCGTGTCGCTGCATCGATTGGCTTGCTGTCGGCTGCCCCCAACACTCATTCATTTGTTTTTCTTGTCAATTCTTCAGAGTGGATGCAGCTCTGGATAATAGTGAGTCTCCTGATGGGCCGCTGCTTCTCCACAGTGTATCGTTGCGTTTCTAACCTTTACCTTTCCCCTGGTTTCATCACAGTCAATTTGCGAAAAGTATGCAACTACATCAGCCATCGGAGCAAGACAGACTTTCAGTGCATTGTGATCAGCCTCAAAGATATGTTTTACGAACGGAGCGAAAGTTTGATTGGGGTTTGCCGTGATGTCGGAACTAGCTCGAGCCGCACGCTGACCCTTGATTTGACAACGTTTGACAAGAAGGAAGCCAAGAAAAAGGGAAAGCGCGGCGGCAAGAAGCAACAGTCTGTGGAAACTGAAGAAGAGAAAACACCAGGCCGGAAACGCAAGACGCGTCTTAGCCAAGCCGCCGAAGAAGAGGAAGACGAGCAATCGAAAGCCTCTGAGGCTCCCAAGCAAAAGAAGACACGTCGCAGCAAAGCCACCGAACAAGAGGAGGGCGACGAGCACTCGAAAGCATCTAAGCGCAAGACTCGCCGAAGCAAAGCAGCCGACAACGAGGTGGAAGATCAAGACGACGAAGACGCCACCAAAGCAGAGGCGTCTCCTTCACCGAAGCGACGCAAGACTCGCCGCAAGACGGCTGCCGACAAGTCACAAGACGAGGATGGCGACGATGCCTCTACCAAAGATGGCGACGAGGAATCCACAAAGGGAGGGGACGAGACTCCATCGCCACAAAAGAAGACTCGCCGGACTCCAGAGAGCGCTTCGACGAGGGGGGACGACAAGGACGACGACGAAACCACAGCCGAACAGGCATCCCCATCGTCCGAAGCCAAGACGATGACGACGAAACAAACGTAGAGGAGTAAAAGTGAGGTGTTCACGCTTCGAAGATTCAGGGCAGCACAACGCTTCATGAGCAACACTTCATTCTTGTGGAATCATTGTCTGTGTTTCGATCTTCTAGCCAGCTCGGTTGACCCCGGGATAACCTATCCAAATGAAGAACAAACCTCCTGGGGAGTTTGCAATTGTGTCTCGGATCTTTCACGTACTGGTAGCTCGGAGAGTAAAGCCTAAAGGGGAGCAGCATACATGTAATAACGATATAGAACGGAATGGCTAACTGACTCTCTACCACTAAACCATTCGCTGCTTTCGCGATTTAGCGGTCCTCTGCTCTTTGGATGCATTGCCACAGGTTATATCCGCTCCGCTCCCGTTTTGCTTCTAGCTTACCGCCATGAGCTCTTATCACCTCGGCTCTTCTTGCGCTCATCCGTCCAGGCACTGCCACTGGAACGGCGAGGCGTAGGTTCACCACGAGAATCAGAGCGCTCTCGTCCTTCTGCGGACTTTGGCTTCCACACCTATCGAGATGGAAAAGAGAGAGCAATGGGATACGGTCAGGTCCAAATGTCCAACACAACCAGCCAAAAATTCAGCGGCAATAAACCATGCTGTGAGCGTACCTGCGTATTGCGAAAGGACGATTTGTCCTGAATCGAAGTTTGATGAGGTTTGTACTCCATGGATGCTTGGGGTGGGAGTTGCAAAACCTTCTTGATGGCATCACGCAACAGACCAATCACCTCTCTGTCTGCCGTTTTGTTCCAGATACCCAAAATATCTTCCGAATAGCGAATGGAAATGACAACTCCACAAATCTCATCCGGTGTTACTCCAGGTACTTGATTTCCAATAATGGCCAGCAAGATTTCTTCAAAGTATCGCGATGCCAGGCCTGGTACAAAATTGGAGGGTGAGCATATTATGGAATACTAGCTAGAGTGAGAGCCAACCCAAAACCACAATAAGAAAAGCTCACCTTTCGGAAGACGAATAATCCACTTTCCACCTTTCTCATTTCCCTTATCCTCCCAGGTGGGCTTGATGTGGGAGCGGAAAAAGTGATAATCGGTAGTGGTAGGCAGCGTATTGGGACGCTTGAGATAGTCGTATACACTCCAAAATTCCTCTACCGTGTCCACTGTGGCCAGTGTCTTGATGGAGTTCTCGTAGGGATGAACCACATTTTCCGTCGGTGTAGCTGGCTGTTCTCCTTCTTTGGTCGTAGTGGCTGCTGCTGCTTTGCCACGGCGCATGTACGAAAACTTGAAGCCCGAATCCAGAGGGGTTGCTGCCTGTAAAAAAACATCAAAAGATCCAATCGAGGCAAGTGAGGTTAACAAAGGGGAGGAAGCAAGAAGTCAATTACCAGTGGCATACTCTGACACGCTGCAAGCTGATAACTTACTACGGCTGCCATTTTGGTCTAAAAGTAGACAGAAAAGGATACAATGGGCTTTCCGAGGGACCTCGTTCTCTCCTATATTATGACGACAGGAGGTGTTACCGATGAGTTCAGTCAAACTCGAGCCGCCTCGTCCATTGACAACATTAGAACAAGCCCGCAGAGCTGCGTAACACCACCATGAAACTGCCAAGAATGATATTCAGGCTGGGGTGCTACGCCGTACGGTACTGTAGGTCCAGGATCCAGTCCAGGTGCAACTACTCCGAACAGGTAGCCCCTTCTTGCCCTGGTTGAACGGGTGTTAGAGAGGCCATCAGTCGAACACACTGCAAGTAAGTTGCGAGTCTCTTGTGGCGCCGTTCGCAAGTGTTTCAAGCATTCACCCGGATGCACCAACGATAGGCAAGTTCTCCAAGAATCCCTGCTTCACATGCTGGGGGACACGGGCAAGATTCAGCCAAAGTGCGATCATATCGTTACGGGGACGAGACAAAGAGTAGCTAGCTACCAGTACCGGTTGGACATATTTCATCCATAGTTGGCTGTAGCGGTAAAAAAAGCTATTGTTACCGAGAGACACCAACGACAAGGAACTCGCAAGATCCATGCCAGACACTCCTGGTTGCTGGTGCCGTGTGTCTTCCGTTGTTATGCCACACGATAGAGGTCTCCATCTATATCAGTGCTGACGCACCTACAAAAGGCGTTGCTGCAAACGCTTAGGAGGATTTGTACGAGACGAACGGAAAGGTTGCACGGGATCCCTCAGCTACCGAAGCCGCAGGGATCACATTCTCTCCGTATTTTCGTGACATCCGAAAATATTTCCCTTCACCTCCAACAAAAATTGACAGCACACAGTACACCATCCCTTTCTTCTAGATCCAGTGTCAGCGTGATTTCGTCGCCAGAGTTGTAGACTAGAGATAGACTACCCCGGAGCTCCCCTGCAACCCACACTTTCTTGTCGCTTGAGAAGCCCATGGAAACGTTTTGGGTTGCCAAGAAGGAGTTGAGAGTACCAGAGTGTACACCGCAGGTCGCCAACCCCAGCCACATGGTAGAACCTTCATCGACCTCTTCAATCTTGATTTTCCACTCATGTATTTTATGCTTTGCACTTGTGATTGGCGGCAAGTTCAGGATGTCCCCAACTCCTCCGTTCAGAGTGACTGTATCGTGCATGGAGCTCTTCCAGGTGCCATCTTTTGGGGCACTACGTGCCTTTTTGAAGTTGACCCCGAAGTTTTTTTTCGCAGTCAGAGCTTGATCTTCGAAAGCTTTTGCCAGCTGCATTGGAGCTGCCAATCCTGACGATTTCACAGATGACAAGAGGATCTCTGGATCAATTTGGTCCAAGCGGACGTGTGCTGCTCCACCAGCTTTCTTGCGCTCGATTTTCGTTCTTCCTCATGTCCCGCCGACCAGATTCTGACGACCTCAAAAAGCGTGGACTCATCCATCTGCAAGTTTTCGTCAATGAGAATATCGCGAATCGTTTGAACACTCAAGAGACGAATTGTTGCTTCTTGCAAAGAGTCAATGTCGACAGTCATTGACCGAATGGCTGAAAGAGCGAAATTGGCTTGAAAGGCAAGCGTTTGGTTGTATAGCATCTACCAAATGTCCCAAAAGCTTCAGGAGTTTCTGGCTCCTGTCGGCAAGCCTCCATGAACGCAAAAAATATCGATGGAACCCGGCGTACTACCTTCAACACAACACAATCAACTCGTTTGCCCAGCTCCGGCAAATCATAATATACTGATGCTGCGGCCAATTTCACCTGCTTCTGGATCCAATCAAGGTCCATTTCCGTGAGCTGAACCGCGTCGTTGTCATCATATGTCGCCCCAATAGTGGGTTTCAATAGTTGCGCATCGTTTGTATGCATAAATTCCAATACAGCCATCATGATGTCCCTGGGATAATTGCATTCCACAGCGTCGCTCTTGGTCTCCCCGAAATGGCCGAGAAGCATCTTTTCAAAGACAGAGCTGCGCGCCGCAACTACTAGTACGTATCGATTCGCTGGGACCTCCAACCCATCGCTGCACTTCAACACAATGTCATGGTACGCTTCGTTCTTCCAAAACTTCTCAAAGGATTGTTTGAATGATTGTTGGGAGTCCATGTTGATGCTTTCCTTTTGCTGTTCCTACTGAACAAAACAAATGACGAAAGCCTTGAAATCGTGAACATTGCCTGCGTAGGTTTACCTCATGTTTAAGAAACACGATCTTTGGACCGGAGATTTACCTAATGTTTGAGAAAACAAAATCTTGAAGATTGGAGGGCCGCTTCTGGAATTGTACATGTATGTATTGGTACCAGGTACCCACAGGACCCAGTGCCCCACGCAGCCAACACCAATAGACCGGTACATCCCAACGACCTACATGCCTGGCTGCCTGGCAAACTATCAGTTTTATTACTACACAGTACTTCTGGTTCTACATGTTTCTCGGCTTTTTCCGTCGAGACCTCTTGTCGACACCAGCGGCACCAGCAGCGTCTTCAGAATCCTTCTTGCGTGAACTCTTTGGCACGTATACAGCTTCCTTGGCTCCAAACCGACCCTTGACTTCTGTAATGTGTTCGGAAACTTGACTCTGCTCCTGCTGAGTGCGTTTTGCAATTGGCAGGTCCATCGTTTTGGATTTCAAGGAAAGCTGCTTCTTGTCTCGAATCTTTCCATCCATAGCAACTTCCTTGAGGTCCCCTGTCTCGTAGACGATTGGTTTCTTCTTCTGCTTTACTGCTTTTGGCTTTGTCTCTGGTGGTTCCTCGGAACCTACGGAGTTGTCTTCTTCTTGACTGTCATAATCTTCCTTCCTCTTGGACTTGGATGAAGATACCGCTGCAACACCACTGGGGTTTCGAAGCTTGAACATTTCATCGTTCTCATTAATCTCAAAGTCAGGATTGCTAAAGAGACCGCCGAAACGGTTATCACCCAAAAGACTGCGTGACTTGTTGCCTGCTGCCTTGCTCTCTAATCGATCCGCAAGATCGGCATTGATGGCCGCCTTTTTCTTCTTGTTGTCGTCATCATTCTTGGCGGGAGCGATACGACTGGATCGCTTGGCATCCATTCTTTCTTTGAGTTTCTTTTTGCGATACTCCTCGTACGCAAATGGATTGGCCACTGCTTTGACTCGATTGTACAGATTGGAGTCCATAAAGAATCCGTGCATGTATCCCCGCAGCAACGGTGTCCCAATCAAGTTGGTGATTCCCAGTGCATTGACATCCTCCCGACTGACAAACTTGTAGTTTTCAAAAATGGCTTCATTGCCATCTCCTACCGCTTTGCTACCCTTTCGAACCAGGTCGGCCTCTTCCAATTCTTCCGTAATGTTTTCCAAGTAGGAACACCATCGCGGTGCATGACCCACTTTGGGTATGTAGTAGGATTCGATTTTGGGCTGATCACAGGCACAGAGCAAAACACCACTGTTGTATCCTTCCGGGTCCACCGAGTCACCTGCCATGATAAAGTCCGAGAGTTTCCCCGTCCCCTCGACATTGACCACGACCGATGCTGCGTTGTTGTCGTTATTGCTGTTGTCGCCGTCGCCACCGACAGCCGCTGGAGTCTTGTACTTCCATATTTTGACCAGTTTTTCGTCCATGGTAATGATCTTGTCATGAGAATGGAATTTCATTTGCAAGATGGATGTTTGATTCTTGTGTTCCTGAATGACCACAGGACGACTGGACCGTACATCGTATACTGCCGCCAGACCTCCTGCTGTGCCACATGCCATGTACAATCCATTGGGATCAAATGTGACGGACGTAATTTCCTTGGTGGGTTGTGAATAGGCTCCCACAATCGGAGCGTTTCCAAACGATGAAATACGTGCTTTGGCAGACCCATGGACATCCAATCGGAGAATGGGTTTTTGCGACGCACTGGGGATTCGACTGTCGATCAGACGAACGACACCATCGTCTCCTCCAATGGCTGCCAGTGAGTGTGTGGGAGCCACTGTAATACACGACGATGACGCGTCAGTTGTATCGACGGTGATTGGTTCTGTGAATCTGCCTTCTTCCAGATTGAGTCGGTAGACTTGATTCCCCTTGGCGGCAATCATGAGTTCACAAGTGGTCGATTCGTAGGCAAATCCTCGTGGACTATTGGGGATTCGCACGGTTTCGTGGAATCCATAGGGGGCATGAAATTCAATCACTCGATCGGTTCGCAGCAGTGCCATTTTCCCGTAGTCTTCTCCCAGCATGACCAAATCCACAATCTCGGCATCGACGTATCTCTCAAATTTCATGGACAGATCGTCCACGTCAAAACAACGTACGCGGGGTTTGTAGGTTCCAGCCACCATAATGTAGCGTCCATCAGCGGATTGCACCAGTTTCGACGAGGAACTTGGCATCTGGAAATCCTGCAGCAATTCGATGCGGCGACGAATGGATTCATCTCGTTTCGACAAATTCCTCTTGGCTCGATCGCCCAGCCATTCGGGGAGAGCTGCACCTGTAGACAGGCAGTAGATTGATGTGTCATTTTTCCGTTGTTTCTTCATGGTCGGTTGCTATTTTATGGTCTGAACAAAGTGAAATGTTGGAACAGAACAATTGGAATCTCGAGTGTCCACAGAAAAAATGAAGGACGAAGCTTCTTGTCAATTGATGAGTGGTTGTGAAGATACTGGTTAAATCTCCCAGTCGTGTAAGCAAGATTTAGGGCGGCGACTTGCCACCAACACAACACACCAACTTCTTCCTCTGCGATGCTACCGATGGCTACCATACAAGCACCGCACGCTAATGTTGCTAAAAGACACTATACAGTTTTAATTCTCAAAGATTGAATTCAATGACCTTCCCACGAAGATGTCCAGTTCCAAATTTTGGCATCATCTCTTGCCCTAAAAGCTAGGTATTGCTTGTTGCGTTGTCAATTTCATCCATAATGACCAATGCATGCAAATCATCATCCCAAGAAACTTTCAGTGTCTCACTACCGTTGCACTCTTTTCTGACTTTTCTAGCTAGCTGTTGTTGTCGTTTTTTGCATGTGAATTGTTATATTACTGTGTTTCCTTGAGATTCTCCACTTCTTGTGCTAGATAATTCAATCGATTCTTGAGCACTCGCAACGCCGACAGTAAAACTTCATCAGCATCCATGCATCCCGTGGTTTCTACCGAAAATATGAATTTGTCTTTGGAGGGTTCCACTCGTACAAAGTCATCGTCTTCGGGTCGTTTCTTCAATGCGTCTTGACAAAACTTGAGGTCTTCCGTGTAGGTGGCCATATCCCACGCCCCCTCAACCGCCTGCAACATTCCCGTGACGGGATCAATTTCGAGAATACGATCGGGACAGATATCCACCAATTCCTGTTTTTGTTCCATGGTCAATGTCGCGACCTGTTCCTCGTTGATAATGATATCGGGCCAGAATCGGTAGGTTGCCACGGCGACGGGACACCATTTGGCATGTTCCTTGGAAATTCCCATGCGGGCAATGGCTTTTAGTTTGAGTTTTTGTCCACCTCCCATTTTGACAATGGCAATTCCATCGTCTTGTGATTCGTCTTGTTCGTTGTGTAGGAAATGAGCGGGATGTACGGATTCATTGTTGCTTCGTAAATCGCGACTGGTGACGGTAAGGGGTGCCAAAACGTCGGTTTCTTCGTTGAGTGCCATGGAATGTCTCATGGCGGCATCGAATTCGACGTCCAGTTCAAATTCTACTGAACAACGGGGACATCGTTCGTAGCAAACGCATTCGCGGTGTGGTAGAAAGGCTCCGTGGCAGTCGCCTCCTCTTTTATAAGAAAACAAACAGAAGAAGGAAAAACAAAATAATGTATAAGATAAGATAACGGGTTAGTCAGATATTGGATGACAGCAGTATCATTTACATCTGCTCTCCTTGAAAACAAATAAATAGTATGGTACAATACTCACTTGATGGAATCAGGAGGTTGATACCGAATGGGTATCAACCCCAACCGATGCGCAATGTACTCGTCATTCAATACGGTCGAATTGTCGTGAAACTCGACCAAATCAATGGCCAAAGTCGGAACTTCCGCAATCATGATGCGTCGCACGGTATTGGCCATGCTGACATCTGTCTCGCTCAGGATAAACTTGATCTCGTGCGGCGAAACATGCAGGATCTTGATCTTGGGGAACCGTTGGTTCGGCATGATTAATTATTGATAACTAGACAAGACTAGCTCGTTAGCAGCAAATTGAAAGTAAAAATGAAAGGAGCTAGATGTTCTTGATTAAAAGCAGCCAAGGATTGGAAGAGAGGGTGATGAGCAGACTGGCAATGGGTGGAATGGTGGGTGGGTAGCAGACAACAAGTGCCAACAAGAAGATGGGATTTGGTGGATGCGGGGTATATCAGCACGCACGTTTGCTCTAACTCTCTAAAGCAGTCCCTTTCGTGACTTGTGACGCTTCGCAAAGATCCGAGTTCGCGTCGCCGTGGATCTTCTCCGCTCTCTTCCTGACCCTTCCCATCAACCAACCACAATGGCGACCGCAGCGCATCAACAGACATCCTCGTCTTTACTTCACTACTACTAGTCTATTCCCGCACTCCACTCAACAACAAAGCAATTACTTGACCATGTTCCGCTATACCGGTACTACCCGATCCGTCGTCAAGAGAGCCGTGCGTAAATTCAGTGGGTCTCCCCTCGAAGCCGATTCCGGAGGCTTGGCCACGCGAGGTCACCATGCCATGATTCTCGCATTGACCGTAGCCACACCCGTCTACCTTGTCTTGCCCGAAGAATCATCCGTCAGCCGTGGTCTGGGCGTCCTTTTGACGGGAAACATTGCCGCGCACAGTTGGATTGGAATGAATTATGTGTGCACCGATTATGGTAAGTTATAGTCTGCCTAGTGTTGTCTGGTTCTTTGTTCGGTCAATAGGTATTATCACCATCTCTGTGTATCAACCAACCAACCATCCATGCATCAATCTTTCTCTATTTTCTAGTTCCAAAGGTTTCCAAGGCATTGTTGGGACCTTCTCGGTATTTCAACGCTGGATTGGCCATTATCACCTTTGTGGGATTGACCAAAATGTCACTCTCTTCGCCAGGAGGAATCAAGGGTGCCGTTCGAGGGCTCTGGAATCCACCTGCAGCAGCACCTGCAGAAAAGAAATAGACAGCAGCAACAGCTAGTGAAAAGAAGAAGATGACAAGTGGAAGAAATGATAATCAAACCCATCCATAATAATATGGGTAATTATAGTTAGTTGTAGAGGAGTCATAGAGAAGGTTATTAGTCAACAGTCTACCTGGTAGCTAGTTGACAACGAAGAGGGAGTTCGTCAGTTGAAAAGGTCCATCATCAGAAGATTAGACAAACAATTGTAACAAAAACATCTTAATGATCTATAGTTTTGAAACCCCTGCCTACCGGTAGGTAGTAGTAGCGAAGACTCATATTAGTTTTTGCTGTAGCTACGTACACCCAAATCGAAGCTTCTTAAAGGGTTATTTGAATAGCTAGCTAGGTGTCCAATGGCTGCTGTGTTGCCCCTGTCGGTGATCTATTTATTTACGTCTTTGTAGCTGTAGTTGACGTTGCTTGTGCTTGTGCTTCCTTGTTATTGGAACTATCGCTGCTGCTTTCCTTGTACTTTTTCAATTGTTCCTTTGCACCGTGAAACAGTACCTTGAGATGTCGCCAGGCAAAGTTGCCGGCACTAAACAGTGGTTTCACCACGGGGAAAATCAGAGTTGTAAAGCGTCTGGCATCCTTTTCAAACTCGGCAATCACTTCTTGGACAAACGTCTTTAACGAAAAGTCGGTAGCAGGTTGTTGTTCCTTGTCATCCACTTCTGTCGTCGTTGGATTGCCACACATGTCTGGTTCCTCTGTTGATGATGACGACGACGACGAGTCCTTTGCTGTCTCTGTAGATTGTTGACTATTGCTGCCACTGCCAGACACTGGAGTACTAGAGGCAGGACCCGTTGCTGATTGTTGTTGTTGCTGGTATTGAGAGTAGGCGGTCCCATCACCCCACATTCTGGGTGCCTGTTTGTCAGATTTTGCTGTCGCCTCGGCTACCTCCTGTTCCAATCTGTCTCGTTCGGCCTCTTGTTGCGCAACTTGTTGCTCTAACAGCTCCTTTTCGTCTTTCATTCGGTCTAGTTCTGATAATAGCTCTTCTGCCAGCTCTGGATTCTGTTCCAAAATCTCATTCCTTGTAGACAGAGAGAAAAAAGAAGGCATGCACTGGTTAGAAACTATCTCAACCACATGAGATATCCAGAGAACAAGGCGTTCCTTGGATTGTCATTTTGAGGTATCATGGTATCATATATATTGTCCCTTGGTTGATACCATTGATCCACATCCCACCACCTGCACTAACTAACTTCTGAACAACAACACACTCACATGTCTTCTTCAATGGCGAGACACCGTCTTGCTGCTTCGACATAATCATCATGTGTCAGATCCCCTTCTGATCCATCTCGGATCAATTCAAAACCACGCTCCAAGCATATCAGCTCCAATTCCTGATCGGTCAATGCTTCCAGTTCTTCGACGCTGAGTTTCCCACTTGGTGGTGGTGGTTGTTCCGTGTTGGTTTCTTGGCCCAAACAACAACATGGCGAAAAGAATAGGATCAGCAACACCCAGAGAGCAAACCGATTTATCCAGGAGATGATCATCATCGTGGTGTGTACCGTATAGGGGGTGGACAGTGGACTGGCTGCAGCGGCAGACTAAGATGGCAGTGGCGGCGAGAAGCCGATGGTGCAGGATCTGTGATGGGCGACGGTGGATCTTGTATAAGCTAGCAGAGCGCTTAAATTAGAGAAAACGACACGTGGAGAATGCTTTGGAGACTGAAGACGCAGACACCAATCAAAGGATTTTTCACAGCTTTGCAGTTCATCCCCCAAGCCACCAATCTTTTCTCAAAACAAAACAAAGATCGCAGCGTGCATCTTTCTTTCTGGAGCGACCACAAGCAGTTGAGATAGATACCGTATCTACTAGCTAGTAGAAGCGTCCTGTGGCTCTATCAACCATACTGAAGCAAAGGAAGCAAAGGATCATCGGCTAAGGATAAACAGAAACCCAAGCAACCATGCCAGAAGCCGAGTCCGCTGCCAAGGCGGCAGAGGAGCCGAAAAAGAGTCCCAAAACGGATCAAAACGAAAAGTACTCCTTGAGGGTCAAGAAGGAGTTCCTTCTGGATAAACGCCCTCCGAGTTTGGGGGATCTTCCGCCCGAAATCGTCCCAGAGGGTGGAGGCAACAAGAAGAACAAAAAACAGAAATCGAAAAAGCGTCCTCGAGATCAGCGGGTTCCCAATTCGGAAAAGTTGTGTTTGGCAATGCTCAAAGGCGACGGCTGTCCCTTTGGGGAAGAAACCTGCAAATTTTCCCATGACATTAAGGAGTTTTTAAAGACAAGACTGGACGATATTACAACTGTGGAAGGAGGCTGTCCCAATTTCAACGAAAAGGGATTCTGTGTCTTTGGGGCCATGTGCCGTGTGGGATCCTCTCATTTGATCAAAGCCACTGGGGAAAGCATGCGCAAGGAGGGAGTTGTAGCACCACCTCCCATTCAAAATATTCTGCCCAAAGAAATCCTGATTCAGTTGAGAAAGAGAAAATACCCCTTCAAATGTCAGTACAGGAAAAAGGAAAGGAATGATAGGTTTTTAAAGAACCAACAGGATAATAATAGCAACAAGGATGAGACGAAAGAGTCCAAGAAAGAAGAAGATAAATCAAAAGCTGACAAATCCCCCGAAAATGCCAAGAAAGAAAGCGAGCAATCGCCGAACAGCGGGCAAAAGACGGAAGGCGGCAAAGCAGAAAACGACAAAAGTCCCATCAAGCCCATCTTCGATCCGTTCCGTCCAAAAATGACAGAAGAAAAGGCTAACTCAACACCATTCCCAGCCAAAACAAAGAAGATCATTGACTTTTCCAATAAGGTCTATGTTGCCCCTCTTACGACAGTGGGGAACTTACCCTTTCGACGGATCATGAAGAAGTTTGGCGCCGACATTACGTGCGGCGAAATGGCTGTGGCAGGGAACCTGTTGGAAGGAAAGCCTTCTGAATGGGCACTCTTGAAACGTCATCCGTGTGAAGATGTCTTTGGCATTCAAATTGCTTCGGGGTATCCAGACCAGTTCACTAGGATTGCTGAGGTAATTGAGAGTCACTGTGATGTTGACTTTGTGGATATGAACCTCGGTTGTCCTCTCGATATCATCTGCCAGAAGGGCGCCGGTGCATCTCTTATGCTGCGCGCGAACAATCTCAAAGGCATTCTATCCGGGGTCACCAGTGCCTTGTCCTGTCCAGTGACTGTCAAGATGCGTACTGGCTGGGAGTCTGAGAAACCATTTGCACACCAACTTGTCGCCAAAATTCAAAGCTGGGGGTTTGATGGCGTCGCGGCTGTTATGGTAAGCAGCAAACGAACGAAGCATAGCCAGCTGGATGCTTGTGGACTGTACCGCACCTAACCAGCTCTTCTGTCGTTTTCAAATTTTGCAGGTCCACGGCAGATCGAGATTGCAGAGATATTCGAATAATGCCGACTGGGACTACATCAGTAAAGTCTCGCTGTCTCAAGACGATTCTGCTCCGAAGATTCCTGTGATTGGCAACGGTGACATCTTCTCTTACACGGACTACGAAGAAAAGATTGCTCGCGAGGGCATCTCGTCGACGGCAATGCTTGCGAGAGGTGCTCTCATCAAGCCGTGGCTTCCAACGGAGATCAAGGAAAAGCGGCACTGGGACATTAGTGCTTCAGAACGGTTGGATCTTTTGAAGGATTTCGTCAAGTTTGGATTGACTCATTGGGGCTCGGACCAGCAGGGAGTCGACAATACTCGACGGTTTTTGCTGGAGTGGTTATCTTTCTTGTATCGTTACGTTCCTGTTGGGATTGTTGAAGGAGGTTGGGTGCAACAGATGAATCAGCGCCCTCCCCCTCACATGTGCGGCCGTTCGGATTTGGAGACTCTGTTCCTGTCGGCGCACAGTCATGATTGGGTCAAGATTGCTGAGATGTTGCTTGGTCCGGTGCCCGATGGTTTTCGATTCGAGCCCAAGCACAAAGCGCGAGGATATCAGTAGAAAGGCAACCCAAACTAACCATCAAAGAAATCGTTGTACGGAACCATACCGGTATATTCCCTCGTAACACTACTGTACCGGCAGCTAGCGGATCAATGCAATGCCTTTGCACCTCTACCAGCTCATAACAGCCTGAACCACTAGTATCTCATCCATCCGCAAGTGACACTTTTCCTCTACCGGTACCGCTATTTGATTAATATTGTCTGTCAGTCTTTATTTTCACGCATCTTAATCTGTTGATTTTCCTAAATTCGGCCTAATCACATGCAAATATGTATATATGAATTCTTCGTCCGGGTGCCACCACGTCATCCAAGACACAACAAACTAGTTCGTTCACCTGCGGCATTTTCGTTGAATGTGGTCGCCGAGCAGGTATCATGACAACTGGCTGGACCAGCATTTGTCGGCTGGGAGAGCTCTTGTTGGGAAGCGAGTCCCACAGTTTTTCTCGCTTGGTCATGGGCGAGCCCTGTGTTGGGCGCTCTGTGTTCAGGGCTTGGCGCCGTCCCTATCCTTCGTTCTCATTCCATCTAACTCCAAAGGTGTATCCAAAACTCCTACTTCAAGTTCTAAAGTCATCCATCTACTCTTCACAGTTATCGCAGCAGCCGCACTCCACAACACAATCAACAATGAGTGTAGCCAACTGTTGAAATCGCAATCCACGCTCGGCACAAACAGCCGCCGAAATGCTACCGGTCAAATCGTTTCCTTGAATTTGCAGGGTTTCTGCATAGAGAACATTCAAGAAATCAAGGGATAAGAAAAGAACAGAAATCTCAGCAAGCTATGCCGCAAACCCAAAACGAAACTCACCAAGAGCAGTCAAATGATCAAAAGCCTCAGGGACTGGTCCAGTGAACTGATTGTCGTTCAAGAAGAGATCCATCAAAGAGGCGTTCATATAGCGGAAGGCTTCGGGGATGGTTCCAGAAAAGGAAGCTCCTTCCAAGTTCATCTCGGACAGATCAGTCAACACAAACATCTCGTTGGGGATGGTGCCGGTAAGTGTAGTAAAACCCAACTGCAACACAGACAAGTCAGTAAGCTGGTTGATCAGAGAACTGATAGTGCCATTAATTCCCATGTTCTCTCGAAGCGACACAGATTGAAGCTTGCTCAATGAATAAAGCTCCTCGGGGATGGGCCCTTCAATTTTGTTGCCCTGAACCTCAAAGTTCACTGGAAACAAGGAAGAGAAATGAGCGGGCCACCAAAGCAGCAAAACAGAAATGATCGGCACAAAATCCAAACTCACTCAGTGCCGTAAGACTTCCGATATCAGCTGGAATAGTTCCGGTAAGGGTATTGGATGGCAGTTGCAGATCATGGAGCCTGGTGGCCCCAGAGATAGCAGCAGGAATGGTTCCGGAAAATTGGTTTCCTCCAAGAGCAAGAAGTCCCAGCTGAGAGTTATTTCCTAGGATTCCAGTAGGAATAGTTCCTTCCAATCGATTATCAGGCATGGCAATAGTCTCCAAGGATGTGAGCCCTCCAAAGGCAACATCCAAATCTCCACGCAGAGAATTCTCAGGGACCAGGAACCTCTTCAATCCAGAAAACAAAGAAAGCTCTCGGGGCAATACACCAATCAAATCATTGCCGGTCGCAGCTGCAAAAAGAGAACACGCCAAATCCAAATTACAGTCAGCGCCAATACCAACACCATAAACCGAAGTCACTCCATTTCCAACACTTACGAAAACTGATTTGCGAAATCACACCATCCTCGTCGCAATCAAGACTGAACCAATCGCACTCATCGGTGTCGGTCAACCAGGCCGTGTCGCCACAACTGGGCGAGTTCTTTCCACAAAGCTTCCAATTATTTCCTCCAGTGGCATAATAGAAAACGGCCAGGGCGTATCTCTGCAAAACTCTGGGGTGATCAATTGACAAGCCTTGGCTAGACGTGTATCCGTCCTGATCTGCCACCCAGCGAGCGGCCTGGTATTGAGGCGAATCCCTCCTGTCGAAAATGCCGGCCGCCGAAACTGACAATTCTCCCAAATATTCGAGGAAGGAGCTGAACAAGCTGGATGTTGGAGCCGCCGAGGGAATCGACGACGGAGCACCGGAAGGAGCGATGGTAGGTGGAGCGTCAACCACAACAGTTTCTCCTCCTCCGCCGACCAAAATCACGACTGGGACCACAATCGAGACGGCGACAATTACCAAGACAATGGCACCATAACAAAGGTACTTCTTTCTTCGCTTCTGTTCAAAATGCTCTTCCTCTTCTTCACTCATCACCACCGCCACACCAGTAGCATCGACGACGGTATCCGCCACAAAAGCCTCGATTCCATCCGCGACAACTCCATCTGCCATTTCAGGATCCGCGCCAGGGTAGACAGGCGCCTCCTCTACCGCCACAACGTCGTCCACCGCAACGCTCGTCACGGGGGCGGGCGACACAGCGGCTTCGGGGCTGGGTTCTGATTCGTCTTTTCGAGAATCATCCAGTGCTTTCTCCACGTCTTCCTCTACAAGCTCTACCGCGTTAAAGCCCACCGTCGTGGTATCCGCAGTGGCCGCCGGCATGGATGCGTTATTTTCCGATGCCACCGCTACAGCCGCAGCTGGCTCATCGACGAACGTAGAAACAACAACAGCCGACAGTTGCGCGGCTTCTTCTTCTTCCTCTTCTTCTGACGGCGGCGGTTCGCGCCTGCTGGTTGTTCTCGACGATGACTCCACCGAGGATGCCGTGGTTACTCGAGCAGGCGGCGCAGGTGGTTCCACATCTCGCTCAGAGAAAGCTCCAACCGTGGTGGCCGGTCCACCGCGAGAAGCCGCACGCCGTTTGGCTAGCGCGTCGCGGTTTTGCATGTTGTCCTCCACCGCCTGGCGACTGGCCAGAGCAGCTGCGGACGAAGGCCGCGGTTCCGAGGGTGCATTCGTGTTGACCGAGCTGGTGCCTCGACTGGTGCCTCGAGAGGGCTTGCCAGGAGGTGCTGGTGTAGACGCTGACACGGCACCCGGGGTCGCAGCAGGAGGAGCTCTAGCTCGACCAGTGACTCTCCCTGCATTTGCTTGCCGCTTCGCCTCCGCGTCGCGCTGCGCCTGAGTGGGTGGTGCTTGCTCTGCCGGTGGCTCCTTGGGAGGGCCTTTCTTTGGATCGTCGGGGTTCTTTGTATCCATTGCTGTTGCTATCTTCGGCTGCTACAAGGGGGTCGATTAGACTAGAGTCCAAGCTAGAGATGACGACAATGATGGATGGCCCTGCTGTGGATGCTAAAGAGCACTCTTCGCAGTCAGCTTAGGGTTGCGAAAGTAACGTCTTGCTTTGTTGCCGAGCCTTCGAGAATGAAATCTGCACAGTGCCTGCTCTGAGACAACCAATTGCAAAGCCGCTTTACCAAGCAAGTCCTGTATGCACGCCAAGCCAACAAGGATGTCTCTCGTGTTCGCGTCGTTCGGTATTAAACGTCTTAGAGCGGAGGACCACCATCGTTGTTCTTTGGGAGCTTTTAATAATTATTATTGATGGTCGCCGGGATTAGAGAATTATTGATAGTCCCGAGAAGGAAACCATTGTTTAAAGCGTAAAGTGGGGACTATCGTGGTCATTGTAAGAAGAGTCACTTTCATCAGAGTTAGAGATCAGAACATCTAAAGGGGCGCTCATCTGCTCCTTTTCCGAGCTTGCTCGCGGGCAACTCGCAGTCGCTCTTCAAGCTTCCAAGTTCCAAAACCACTTTCAGCATCTGCTCCTTCTTCCATTGGGCAACCGGTACCGGTACGACTGTAGATTGACAGCCTGCATTTTTCTTCTCCTGTCAAACATTCGTAGCTCTCTAGCTAGAGTAAAATGCGATTTACGACGGACCTTTCCCCGGATTATTCTCTTAAGAGGTGGATCTCGAATATTGTACTTCTAAGTAGCTGAATCGAAAGGGCACATGTTGTTGAGTATCCCATTAAATTCCCAAGATCAGAGTGTACTTATTGGTGGATTCCACTTTTAGGTCAAGTGGAGCTACTAGACTATAGCAAGATCATGTCAATATGGGTCTATAGAGGTTGTAAACCTCCCCTCCAGACTAGGATCCAGGCAAAGGCAATGGCCCTGGTTATACCAGAGAGGCCTGCTGCATGTATCACAGACAGACCTACTTCCATCCAATTTACCCGGGCGGGAGGGAAGGAAAAAGGAAAATTGGTTCGGGCGGCTGCAACTCTGTTCAGAAAAAGTGAACCTGATTTGTAGCCGCCCGATTAGTAGTCCTTCTAGCTAGTCATCAACACCACTTAGGCACACCACCTGTGCACCCGACACTTCGTCCACCACCTCATCCTTGAATGGAGCC